GAGCGTTAGGATTTTCCTTCCTCCGTCGCCATTTCCAGGTTCCAAATCCTCGTACCTCTGAAACTGAAGCTGTAACTGACTCTGCGTCGACGGCGCCAAGCTGTTCCCTTGCCGGCGGGATTGCTGTGGCGGCTGCAACCGGTGGTGATGCATCAGCGACGCCATGAAATGCTCCGTCGAACCCGCTCTATACGGCGGAGATAGAGACGGTACTTCTGGAGATGGCTGGCTACGTTCTCTCTGGTCAAGCCTTCGACGCTCATGAGCTGCATTATGGTCTTGGGGACGGCGTTTTTTATGCCGAGATGAGCAACCGCGTCCACGAACCGCTTGTGCAGCTGCGGCGTCCACACCAGCCGCGGCCGCTTCAGAGTCCTGGCCGGCTCGGTCAAATCGCCGGCGTAATCGGTCGGAGGAGGGGGGAATTTGTCGATGTGGAAGGCGAGGGCGAGGGGAGGAGAGATTAGGGTTTGAGAGAGAGGGATGAGATCTTCAGGAGGAGGAAGCTCCTCCTCCCATCTCGCCAACCAATTCGGATTGTCTTCTCTCATCGAACCCAACGAGAAAGTGGTGATCAGACATCTTTCAGGACCTGCACTTGTTATTTATTTATCCACACACACCATTTGCCATGTATGTATGTATGTGTGTATGTATATGTGTATGTATATATGTATGCATGTGTGGGTGAGTTTTTCCGAGTTTTGTGCAAATGGTTATGGGACCGAATAATTAAATATATATTTTGGATCATGAAATAAACGAATGACAGAGAGAGAGAGAGGTATGTCTGTAAAAATATTATAATGTTTTAAAGCGAATGCTTATTATCGAATCCGTTTTCTTATATTCAAAATGAAGATATACATCTTTAGGACTAGTGATAATATTATTTAATAATTGATAACGAGAAATCAAAATTTATTTTATTAAAAAAATAAAAGGAAGAGAGAGTGGGGGCAAGAAAACAATAACAGTTCAGATCCATCATTATGATGTTCTTGTTTTGGAGGATCTGTCATTGTCTTATGTGTCCGTAGTTCGGAAAGATTCTTTGGCATCTCACGTGTCGCGTGGTTTTCACGCTCTCTTCCGGCGCGTGGAGGCTACTACGCGTGAGATTCCACGCGCAGTCATGGATTAGATTAGGTGCCCTCTAACTTCCATTACTTGATTAACTACACTAGGCACCGAATTATGTTATATTAATCAGTTTTAACTTTTTTTAACTATCTGATTATATATATAATGATTAAAAAAAAAAGAGGCATGGGCAGTGAGTGGGAGTTGAGTTCATGATAAAATAAATAAATTAAACACCTTTTAGGTTTTGTGGATAGAGAGAGGATGGTGGGAATGATTAATATTCCAATCTGGGTTCGGCATGCATGTTTCCATTTTTTAATTAAATTCTCAATTAATGCTCTAGCTTAATTAAGTACAAAATTAAAAAAGGGTCTATGAAGTGTCATGTGTTGTCTAAATCTTTCTTTTTAGTTGCCTTGCTTCGTTTTTAATACCTAATCTAGGAAACATGATTCTCCTAATTAATTGATTACTTAATTAGTTTTTAATGGAGTACTTAATTAATTAAAGTTCATACAAAAGACACAATCAAGATTGTTGTTTTCGCATAATCATAGATATGTAAAGGATGTACATTATCATTCTCCAATAAATCATAAAATTATTCATATCAAGTAAAAGTGGGCATAACAAAAAAAAAAGATTTTTTTTGTTCAGTTCATTTAAATATTCATGGAGATATTTATAACAACACAGAGTTATCACAAGAGGACAAACAAAAGGAATCTATTCAGAAGTCCCAACTTCTGAAACGCCAAGAAAAAACCAGACACAGACCTGTCCCTTTGATTTGCTTGTAACATTTTTTCACAAAGGAAAAAAAAATAGTATTTCCGATTTTTCTAAAGAATTTTGCTTGAGTGAAAAAAAAGTAATAGTATTGCTTTTTTTTTTCTTCTGATTTTTTCGAACTATAGTTACTAAATTAAAAAAAATCAATAAATATCTGAAGATTACTTCAAATATATAGCTTAACAATTATAGGAATTCGTTATTTCGGTGAAGAATGACAAAGGAAAGAGCCTAAACTACAGCCTTTTTTGTATAATTGATGTTTAAAAATAAAATCATTTTAGACCGTTCACCCTTAAAGTGGAGTAAAGAAATTCTTTTTTTTTTATTTCAGCAATTTTCTTGTTTTAAATTTGTTTTTTATTTTTTTTTCCTAACATATATAAAAGAATATTTTAGTTTCACAAACCATGAGTTGTCCCATGTTTTCTTAACCCCCCCCCCACATATATACTATACTATCATTTTTTTAATCTAATTTATATGTCCTACCTAACATAGATTCATACATATGATAGACAAAAAAATGAAATTTGTCCAATAAAACATATTTTTAACTCTGATTTGCCCGCGTATATCCATGTGAAAGTTGTTGAATGGCTAGAATTTTACCTTCATACGGATATTCGTACAAAACATAAACATTTAGTTCATCCAATATATCAATTTGTGAAATTAGAGATATTAGATTAATATAGACAAAGACATACATTCAGACAAAGATCCTTATGGCAACACTTAGCAATCAAAACCTCAAATCTATCATGTATACTTTATCCGATCATGTCGTAATTGTCCTCTCTTAAATAATGATGTACACTAACATACGAACCAAATATCAAATAAGACATGTATATTCATCATGACCTTCAAGAACACAGCCCAACAGGTGACCCCTACATGTATATCAGCCTACTTGCTTATTTTTCACTATCTCTACAACATTGCCCATCTATTTATACACACCAAAATTCACTCCAGGACCTGTGGAAATGATGTTCTTACGGTTATAGCGGGTGGAGGCTCATCAGTTCATCATCTGATTGCCAATTAGGAAGAGCTCGGTCTGTCTGCTGGTTTTGTTATCTGATTATGAAGCAACGAGGCGGAGAAGAAACATCGCGATAGATCTCATTCGTGTCCTGGATCGGAACAGTGGTAGAATTTAGTGGCGATAACAGATCATACGAATAACAAAATCCACAACAAAAAATGCGCGTCAATTTTAGGACATTATCACTGCGGATAAACCGAAACAGATAGATAGATGGGAGAGAGATCTCACCAGAGAGAAAAAGACGATCTTGAGCTCGTGCTCTCTGGGTTTTCCACCAAGTCTTCTTGTGCTTTTGAGGGGACGACCCTTTGGAATTTTCCAGACAGTTCTTCGTAGGACAGAATCTCTGTTGGCTCCACTTGCCTGATCGCTTCTTTCAAATGCTGCTTGGTTATTTCCTCGGCATCCAGACTCTCCTGATTGTGTAAACCAGCAGGGAAAGGGAATAAGAGACAGAGGCAAGAGCAAGACAAATCATCTGCAGAGAACACAATGACGAGAAAAAAAAAGAAAAGAAAAATCTAACCTCGAGTGCTGCAATGGCTGCCTCTCTGCATATCAACGATATGTCAGCCCCGGTCCAGCCTTCAGTAAGAGAAGCAAGCTCTTCCAAACTGACATCAGAGCTGTATGGGATTTTCCTCAAATGGATCTTGAATATATCTTCGCGGTCCGTCTTGTTAGGAGGTCCCACATACAGGGACCGGTCAAAGCGTCCTGATTAACGTTTCAATCACCAGGAAACGTTCAGATTTGTCATTTGTAGGATACTTAATGTATACCAGAGCAAAAGAGAGTAATATACCAGGTCTTAGGAGGGCAGGATCTATTTTGTCTGGCCGATTTGTAGCGGCAATAACAGTAACACCAACTAATTGATGCAAACCTGCATTTGACATAAAAAAGGTAATCAGAGCCTGTTCTACTTATAATTTGTGATTTGGCTTAGAATCTGAACTGAAAATATTCTATCTTGAAAAGATTTAAAGGGATTTAGTTGTCATTTTCCTACGTTCTAACAAGTGCCTCAAGATAGACAAATTAAGCACTCTAATAAGGTTGTTACTAACCATCTAACTCCACAAGAAGTTGGCCCATAACTCTGTCAGAAACTGAAATTCCGTCGTTCTCTTTTCCTCGAATGGTGGCCAGACCATCTATCTCATCAAAAAATATGATCGAGGGTGCATTTGCTCTTGCCTTGGCAAAGAGAGACCTCACAGCCTTCTCTGATTCACCAACCCATTTGCTGAAAAGTTCTGGTCCTTTGACTGCAAAGAAATTCAATCCTGCTTCGGAAGCTACCGCACGTGCCATAAGGGTCTTGCTACATCCAGGAGGGCCAAACATCAGTATCTTACTCGGTGGCTTTATACCTATTCGCTTGAATACATCCTGATGCTTTTGTGGCCATTCTACCACTTCCATTAACTGATTCTTCACCTCATTTTGGCCACCGATGTCATCCCAATTGACCTTGGGAATCTCTAATATCACCTGAAAGTCACGTAGTAGTCAAGAGCCAGAGTGATCAGAAAGCAGAGCAAACTCTGGTTGCTATTGAAAATATCAAGTTATATGGAATAGGTAAATGAAGCTTAAAATAAATACAGACACTAGACCATATTCAAAGTTGGAAACTCAAGTTCCTTATTTAATCAATTTTCTACGGAAGTAACAAAATAAGAACCATTTGCATCAACAGATTTCATTGGAATTATGAAACGCATCTAGGTGTTGTCTTCCATGAAACTTGAGATATGAGAAAAACAGCTAGCTTCCTATCAAGGGAAAATGCACCAATACAGCCTTCAAATGAAGAAGTAGCTGAGAATCAGTTATCTTATCATCAGACCATTTTATTAGGACTCAGAAAGTGATTACCTCTCTCATGGCACTGGGTCTGATTTTCATCTTAGCCTTTTCAAAATCTTCAAAAGCAATCCTTAAGATATGCTCTCTTTCTGTGACACACATCTGGTTCGGACTATAGTTGCCATCGCTTGAGATATCCTCTGTCGCTTGAGAGACTGCCCCATTTGAACTAAATATTGGTGCCCCAGAAGCAGTGGGTGAAATTGTGACACATGAAGATGCAGAATGACACCTATCTGTTGATATGCCTGTGATATTTGTCGAGGAATCAGAACTTTCACGTTTGCAAGCACAAACAGGTGTCTCTTCAGGATGCAGATTACGAGAGCAACTTCTGTGCTCAACATGACGTCTTAAACAGACAAGTGCTGCCTCATTACATAATGAGGCTAGATCTGCACCTACAAAACCATGGGTAGCCATAGCAAGCTGTTGAATCTGGATGTCTGAAAGTGAATGTTGCATCCCACTTAGAATTGTGCAGAGTATATCGAGGCGTTGTGCCGAAGATGGTACACCTATATCATTTAGAAAGTATTTTAAACAAATTGTAGAGAGCAAGAAAGCTAAAATATTCCACTCATGTCCGGATGGTCTCTTTCCAGCAAAGTTCTCGTCTTACCTATTTCGATTTCTTTGTCAAGTCTTCCATGTCGTCTAAGGGCAGGATCAATGCTATCAGGTCTATTGGTTGCAGCAACTACAACTACACCATCATCACTATTTATTCCATCCATTAAGCTCAATAAAGTAGCTACCATCCTTTGAGATAAATCTTCACTTCTTTCTTTCCGTGCAGGAGCAATAGCATCCAACTCATCAATGAACACCTTAAAAAGATTTTTTTTTTGTTTAAGCAAGCAGCTAACTTGGCACAATATGGTGTTAGTTGGTAAGCTAACAAATCAAAATTTAAACGCTCTTTCATCTTATATAAAGACATTACTATGAAAAGTAAAACTAAGAGAATTCAACACCTGCCAACTATATCCATCAACGTTCTAGCCAATTGTGTAGCATCTTAAAAGAAGAAATCAATTAGCTATAGAATTTAGAGAATAAGTATGAAATTCTAACCACAGAAGGTGCAGCTTTGCTAGCTGAACTGAAGACCTCATATAGGGCTTTCTCGCTTTCCCCAAGGTACTGGCCCACAATCTCAGGTCCATTCACGGAGAAAAAACTGACACCAGAATCACGGGCACATAACCGAGCCAAAGACGTCTTTCCTGTGCCTGGAGGTCCATGAAGAAGCACTCCCTTTGCAGTTCGGATACCTAGTCTAAAACAATCACACCAGGGATCAACATAGAAATATTAAATCTAAGAAGAGTGATTGTCAGCCTGTCAGGTACACTAACTATCGAATAGACGCACCTCACTGCATGACAATGATTTTGGAACAAGATAAAGACACAAGTAACAACAATTACTTTCAGCTTTCATCAGAACAAAGTTATAAAACTTCATTCACTGGCTAAACAAAAACTTCAACATACCAAGATCTGAAAACATTGAACAGACCGAACGCATGGGTGAACCAGGTGGGAAGATAGTTTGCATTTTCCATGCATGTTTACTTTCAATTGAAATAAATTTGACTATCCAAAATCAACAGTAAATGTCCAAAAATATTTAATGCAAATTCTGGAAGAAGAGTGAAACATGCTGATCAAGCCAATTGTAAAACATACCTTGATAGGGTATTATTCAAACTGGATGGGGGAACGATTATGTCCCTCAGAACTGCATATTCTTTAGATAGACCACCTAATTTTGCGAGTTCATGTCCCACATTTTCCCCTTCATTGTCTTGATCAAGTTGAAGATTTTGCGAAATTGTTCCCTCGGGAACATCATTTGCCAAGTCCAATGGATTTTGGAAGTACACTTTTGTTTCCTGATTTATCAAAAACGCATAATTTGCATGGTGCACTGATTCTGCTGTCTGGATTGTGCTTCGAGAAGCCTGAGTTGCCACATTCTGATCAGGATTATCAGCAGGCAGTTTAGTAGCCTTTTTGACACAGAAAATACAGATCTCAGAGAGAACTGGTACAGCGACAAGATTGCCATAAAACAAACTACACGGATATATCCATGAAGTAGCACAAGTCTGAAAAAGTTTCTTAGCGCTTTCACTGGTCAACACTTCTTGCATGTCAACCAAATTTGCAGACAGAGTCCGCTGATTAGAAATGCTGGAAACAGAGTCCTTGATAATTGGTGATGCTGGAGCGTTGGAACCAGGAGACCCAAGCTTTTGCAAGTTAAGAGGTGTCTTAGGGGTTGAATCCCCAATTTCGTACCTGCCAAGGGACCTTTCTGTAGTAAACTTCTCTTTAGAAAGTAAATCCATCTTTACTTCTACCATATTCCTGAAAGGAATCAACTCTAAATACAATTCCTTGCAGACAACCAATGAAAGACGGTTACCATCGGCGGTGTAGAGCGGTCCATCACTCGTGTTGACTGTATTATTTAAAGAAGGGCTGCAGACAGGATAAACAAAAACAGTCCTGCCGGAAACAGGATAACCAAGCCCATATTGAAGATTTACTGAAACACGAACAGAGTCCTTCAAAACCTGCAGCAATTCAAAATGACTCCACGTTAAATGAAACAAGAAAAGATCAAGAGCAAAATTTGACTTGAAGAAGGTGATAGGGGCACATGATAAACACATAAAAAGGAAACCTCTAGACATCACTTACAACAATGGTGGACAACTAAATCAAGTCTATACTAAAGGAAGCAATGGAGATGAGAGAAAGAGCCATAGTACATCTTCTTCTTCTGACCTTTGAAGACGAGAAAACGGTGGCAAGAACGAAGTAGTTCCCAGGTTCATTGACGATGCTACTACTACTACAATCAAGCCCATATTCAGCCTTGATAGAGCTTAGCGGAAAGCCATTTGAGAATCCCCTTCCAATGCAAGCAAGCGAGACCTATCAATAGAATACAATTTCACCGTGAAGCTAGTGTGGCATTATATCTACCAACAAATCTTCCCAAAAGAGTTCACAATTTTGATACGTAGTATCCATCACAAAGGAGCTGAAAAGGGGGGTTCCCAGAATTTGGTACAAAGTCATTTTTAAGAGAAGCTACTCATCGATGAATTTGATTTGCCAGAGAGAGATTGTATGTTCATCGCCTTCAACATCGTCAAAGAACACTTGATACTTTTCCCGTCAACACTCAAAAGCTAAAAAAATGTTCGATCTTCAAGCGAACAGCTCAAAACGGAGAAGCCAATTACCGATACAGTGGAACCAGGACTGAGAGAAGCGGCAACCATGGAAGTTTCGGACAACCAAATCTTAGAACCTCGGATAGATTCCGGGGCAACATCGGTTACTCTTCCCAAGATTGCGGATTTGCCGATGAGACAAGGAAACCGAACCGAAGCTTCTTCGAGACGGTAACGAAGTTCATCCTCGTCGAAATACTCTGTACCAAGGCCCGTCGTCGAAGACGCCGGTGTTCTCGGAGACGCAGATAGCTCCGAATTCGACAGCCGCGAAGGCGTCTTGGACTGTTTCTTCTTCGACGGCATCTCTGCGGGGAAATGTCAGGAAACCTCCGGAGAGTTCTTCGGGAAGACAGAAGAAGTAAGGCAACCGGGAGAGAGAGAGAGAGATCGCCGGCGAGAAGCAAACCAAACCCATTGTTGTCGGGGTTAGGGTTTAACGTTGTAAGCACGGGCTTTATTAGGGCCCAACTTAAGGGTGAAAAGAAAAAGGAAAAAAATAACGGACCCAAGCCCACATTATTATGTTATTTAATATTAGTACAATAAATTTTGATTGGATATGTTTTTTTTTTGGTATGTAAATATTCAAGTATAATTGTTAACCATCACTAACTGTTACCTCAATTTAATCATGAATTAGATATGAGGTATTCAAATTCAACCAAACAGAAGAAAAATATTTTTTTATTAAAAATAAATTCAAAATAATTTCGATTTTTGATAAACAAAGTGGAACGAATATAAACATTTTAAAAAAATTAAATTCAGAAATAACAAAAAAAAAAAAATCCAAATTATCTTTACTGATACATCTAATTTTTGCTAGAAATATTAGCTCCACTAATTTAACTCTTGAATATTAAACAGTATGTAGTAAACAGTGTCATATGCATATGACTATCAAAAGGTTATTGACTTTTCGCACTAAAGAAATTAAATTAAATATGCAGATTTTTTATATTGATTTAGGAATTATGGATATTCAAATTTTCAACCTTTTTTCGAATACAATTATACAAAAGAAGATGATTTACTTTCAAAAAAATAATATTTGTTTTCTAATTGTAATTGAAAATGATGTCAACCACTATCCACGAGGTGACCAATTAAATGCTAATGCTGAATATATTATTAATGTGTTACGTAACACGAAGACCGCAGTCTTTTCTACTGGTAATCGTTAGTGTTTCGTACTTTTGACCTGTCTTGTAATATTATTCTTTTTTTTTTATAAAAACACCCAAATAATTTTTGGAAAATGAAATAAAATAATAAAAACAATTAGGAAAAAGGAGTAGCGGTCAGCGACTCGGACGCAGACTCGGGAAGAAATCGGAGAACACGCGAAGACCGAAGAAATTTGTGACCAAGTAGAAGAAGCAGAAGGAGGAAGAGGAGGAAGAAGCTGAGGGTTTGTAATTGCATTCGACTGTAATGGAAGGTGCGTGATTGTTCTTAGCTCCTCTCAGATTTGGGTTTCCTTTTTTCCTCCGCGAAACCCTAGTTTTCCGAACTTCCCTGCATTTGACTTGATTTTACTCCGCGAGAACTGGGTTTCACTTTTTGTCTGATTCCTTCCGATTCATCTTCAGACCGCATTATCTTATCGAGATTTCACGTCGCCTAAATCTGATTCGAGTGACACTTGCGCAGTGATAGTTTCGGTAGTTAAGAAATAAAGGAGATTGATCCGTAGATACGATTGTGTATGAGTTAGATTCACGTTTCGGTACGGCCATTCGGTCCAATTTGTTATCTTGAAATTTTCTGCAGTTGTCAACGGGTGTCTGAGCTGTTAAGTTCCGTACAACGGTACAAGCGTATTTATTGATCTTTGCGCATTTCTAGTTTCTCATTTGCATTTGCATGTGTTTGAAGACAGGCTTGTGGTAGCTTGTCTTGTCTTCCATCAGGAAATTTCTGTATCTCACTGCATCTGTTCTTGTTTTTTTTTCAGCTCTGATTGTTCTTCCTCTAACCTCTGTTAGATTCTTTGTGTTGTTCTCATTTTGATGCGGTGGTTAATCACTCTTGTAGCTCTTTTTGACGTTAGCAAAGTATCCTCCTCTGTTTTTCTTTTTCTTTGTATTGCCATTGATCTTCTGAGGTGGTTTTCTGATCGTTTAGGCTTCAAATCTGTATTGTTCTGGTAGTTTATCAATCGTTTTTGTTCCGTCACTCTGCTAAGTTGGCCTTATACCAGTTCTGTGACTGCAAATTTGCCCTTGATATTTTCCTCAGCAAAAATATTAGTTTGCCATTTTGACCCTTTTTTTTCAGTGTCATGATAGATATTAGATGGCTAGGCTTTTTTTTCTGCAACTCTCAAGTCAGTGGCTGTGATTTAACATCTGTTATCTGGGTCCAGTAGAGAGATAATCTGACATAGACAGTGTGAAGATTCATTTGATAGATCAAGATTGCAATTTTCTTCTCTGACAGGTAAATCCCCAGACCTGGAATCGGTCGGGTCTGGTACAAAGAGGTCCAGTGTTTCTTCGGGAAGTCATTCTCGTAACCGTCGGGATTTCCTTAACAGGTTTACTGATAGCGAATATCTTATAGAAAGACTTGAAGATTGGTTTGAGGAAATATTGAAAAACTCAGGAGATAACAGACCAATCTTTGAGGTTCCTTTTGAGTTGGTGGAACTCCAAAAGTTTGACTATGCGTTGGAAGGGGTTTCTTTTCAGCAGGTCGTTCGAATGCCCAATGCTGTTTATGCTTCGACATCTAATGCTGTGGAGGGAACCGCATTTCTAGCCATAGAGGATTTTCTACATGCAACAGTCAAGGGCTTATGGGAGGCATTTTGGAGTCAGGACGAGCCAGTTCCTTTCTCTGTTGCCTGTCTATACAATCAAAACTTGAAATTTTATCCGGCTGAGAAAGCTTTAGCTACTGGGAAACTTGAAGGTCTTTCTGCAACGGGTATTTTGCTAAAAAACCCTAGACATCCACATGGAAAATGGGATCATGTTCTTGAACTTGCTCTTCTAAGGCCAGATATAGGAGGCTTTGCTCTGGAAAGTGAGTGCCCGCCTTCTCTGCCTGTCTTAGGCGAGGCTCTTTTCTATGCTCTCCGCTTACTCCTCTCAAGAAGCGTGAGCCGTTTAGATTTTTCTCAGAGCTCAAACTGTGTCTTCATTCTTCTTGTTGATTCACAATATGGTGGCGTTGTAAAAGTTGAAGGGGATGTAACTAAGTTGGATTTTGACATGAATAATATCTATGAGTGTGCTGCAGAGTGGATGAAGAAGCATTCGAAGATAGCAGTGTCACCAATTGACAGAATATGGAACAAACTTGGAAATGCTAACTGGGGAGACATTGGTGCTTTACAAGTAGTTTTTGCCACTTACCACAGTATAGTGCAGTACTTTGGGCCTCCGAGGAACTCAATTGAAGACTTAGCTGCTGATCATAGCTCTCGCCTTCAAACAAGAAGACAAGAGAGACAGTTGGGGGATGCTAGACTCGGTGGAAATGGTCTGTTTAGGTTCGAGCATAGTTCTTTGTCTCCTGAAATTGTTGAAGTTCAAGAAGAATCAATCAAAATCGAGTCAGAACAATCGATGAAACTGGAAGTCGGATCTGTTCTGTGGTTGGAAGATTCAAACGGGCAAAAGGGCTATCAGATTAATGAAGTATTGAGTGATGGTGCGCTTCCATATCATATTGCTTCACCAGTGGACGACCCAGGAAAGCATGTTTTTCTGTATGTTGGCTCTCCTCCGACACAGCTTGAGCCAGCTTGGGAAGACATGAATTTGTGGTATCAGGTCCAAAGACAGACTAAAATATTAAATATTATGAAACAGAGAGGACGTCCTAGTAAATACTTGCCACAGCTCCATGGGTCTGGTCGGATCATTCACCCGGGCCAATGTAAAAAACCAAGTTCAGGTGGACGGTGTGATCATCCTTGGTGCGGGACTCCTATTCTTGTGACCAGTCCAGTTGGTGAGACGGTTGCTGAGTTGGTAAACAAAGGAAGATTCGGTCCTGAAGAGGCTATTAGATGCTGCCACGATTGCTTGTCTGCACTTTCCACTGCCTCCTCGGCTGGAATTCGTCACGGAGACATACGCCCAGAAAACGTGATTTTCGTCACTTCTGGTGTAAGACATCCATACTTTGTACTTATCGGTTGGGGTCATGCAGTTCTTGAAGATAGAGATCGACCCGCAATGAATCTTCACTTCTCCTCGACTTATGCACTCCAGGAAGGGAAACTTTGTGCAGCATCGGATGCAGAAAGCTTGATCTACATGCTCTATTTCTGCTGTGCCGGAGATTTTCCCGATATGGATTCAGTCGAAGGGTCTCTTCAATGGAGAGAGAACTCTTGGTCAAGGAGATTAATTCAGCAGAAGCTCGGCGATGTCTCAACCGTTCTGAAGGCCTTTGCTGACTATGTTGACAGTCTCTGTGGGACACCATACCCAATGGATTATGAGATTTGGTTGAGAAGATTGAAGAAGAATCTTGCGGAAGATCATGGGAAAGATATTGAAACTTCCGGCTAAGCACTTGATCATTATGCACAGAGATTTCAGACTTCATCTCCACCTCAGCTCATGGACCCTTCATACATTGATTCAGTTGGAAGCCGCCATAAATTAAAAAAAAGGCTCCCTAATTGAGTTACAGGTCAATCTTGGATAACATCAGATTCCTTTCCGACATTCTTTTAGCTGTTCTGTTTGAAGGTCTGAGACGGATAGCTCTCTGCAATTGAGGCCATGTCCTTTCAACTTATTCAGACTTACCACGGAATCAAGAAACCCGCAATGATGTGAAGATCATTCCTTTTGTATCCCCATTTAATGGACCTTTTGTTCTGTACATGATCTTGAAATTTTTTAGATTCTGCTGTTTCCTTTTGTTCTTCTTCGGGTGATTGTATCTGTTGTACTGTGTTTTTCCTGTAAATGTAAGAGAGCTCTCCCATTTTGAATCTGTAACTGAAATGTATTCTTGTTGGAGGAAATGCAGGTGGCCTTTGTCGTAGAAATGTCAAACTCATCATGTGACATAACTGATGTACATATAAAACATCCTCTTTGAAACTGACAGAAACATGTGACAAATATACAAAGAAATGCTTTGGTTGGTATCAATGATTTTGCAAATATTATTTGATTATGTATCATTAGGTTAGAAGACCATCCCACCAAAACCCATCTTCTAACTCCCAAGGAACAGCGGAAAGACAAAAAAGCTTGCTCCTTTCTTCGTGGGTTTGTCGTGTTTTCTGAATCGAAATGGGTAGAATCTCTCGGGTAATGGCGGATTTCTTCTTGGCGTTCATGTGGGTATGGTCGGGTGTTCTGGTCAACATCTTTGTTCATAGAATCCTGGGATTTGGGCGCGACATGTCTGGTGAGCTCGTCCGGTATGTTCTGTCCGTCGCCAACATGTTCTTGTTCGCTTATTTCCAGAAGCTCACCAATGGCGGACTTCACAACCCTTTGATGGCTCTTGCTTCTTCTGTCTCCGGTGGCGTCGCCGAATTCATCTTCGCCGTCGCTATCAGAATCCCGGTCGAGGTTCGACCAGCCATGATGACCCTCTTCTTTCGTTTCCTTTGTCTGATTTTGGGTGTATATACATATAATTTGTTTCGATTCTCGTTAGATTTGTTCATTGACTTGCATTGAAGGTAGTCACTGTTTTGCTTCGTCAGAATTGGATCTTAGAATCGAATAGTCGCATGCATGCTTCCCCACTAGACTTCTTCTGACATGAAATTTTGCACATCATGCGTTCAAGATGATGACATCTGAGATATGGATTCTTGCATCATCTCTGATCACATCAGAAACTGAGGTTTTTTTTTGTGTATTACTGCTGGGTTTCTCAGAAGATCAAATGGAAATAAGAGAATCTGAGAATTTGGGATCGTTTATAGGGTAGAAAGATACTCACTTTGCCGCTTTGTTCTTGAAAAGGAATGAGGATGTCCCATTGTTGCCAGAAACTAAATCACATTGCTGAAGTTTCTGCATTTATCTGTATATACAAGAAAGTCAGGAACTTGGCCGCAGTTTATTGATTTGATGTCGCCAATTGAACTCGGTTTCCTGCTTCAATGGATTCATTGTCAGGTGATAGGAACCATCATCGGGGTCAAGCATATCCTGCAGACATTTCCAGAGATTGGACGAGGGCCACATCTGAAAGTAGCCATCCATCGTGGTGCCCTGACAGAAGGGATGCTTACTTTTGCCATTGTCACGATATCTTTAGGGCTGACGAGAAAAATCCGGGGAAGTTTCTTCATGAAGACTTGGATTGTAAGCCTTTCGAAGTTGACTCTTCACATTCTTGGCTCTGATCTCACCGGTGGATGCATGAACCCAGCCCCCGTAAGTGGCGTAGTCTTTTTAAAGCTCTCTATTCTCAGAATATCTTCCTTGCCACAATCAGCTTGATCAGCAAAATCCGAGAAATCGAATTCTCAAACTGGTTTCCGTTCAAAATGTTTGCATCGGTGATCATTTCTGTTCAGATTATGTCATTGTTTGAATCTTGCAGGTGATGGGATGGGCCTATGCCCGAGGTGAACATATAACAAAGGAGCACATACTTGTGTACTGGCTTGCACCGGTTCAGGCTACATTACTCGCTGTTTGGATCTTCAGACTCGTGGTTAAACCTCAGACAGGGAAACAAGAGAAACCCAAGGCTAAACATGAATGAGGACAGTCTCAACATTTCTACCGACGGGCTATTCTCCAGATTCCAAACATGATATTGTGTATCGGTTGGACTAGAGTAGAACAAGAGAGACTCTCCGGAAGTTTCTGATTTGGTGAATTGTATGTTCTTCAAACTGTAGAACGGAATAGAGAAGTGGAGTTTAACTTCACTGCCATGCCATTAGATTGTCGTCTTTAGAGTTAGATCTCCACAAGATTTGGAACTATAATGTCTAAAAAAAGAATCCTAGGTGTCGTAAGGGTCTTTGGCAAAGATTGTCTCTGTAAATGTCGGAATGCAGAAGCCATGGTGAATGCAATTGTTTCTCAGGTTCTATATGTCTGATCACAGAAACATTCAAGAGCTATATCATCAATACACGAGTGTGGGCTCAAACTCGGCTACATCAACGGATCCAGACTCGACAGGAGGCATCAAATAAGCAGCCAAGAGTTCAGAGACTAATGCTGCAATGATAGGAACCCTCTTCAGGTTCTTGATGAATGAAGGGTCTTCACTCTCTCCGACAGCCACCAGCTTCTCGTTGATCTCGACCATTCTGTCCAGTTTCCTCTTGAACTCGGGATTCTCCACATCCAACACTGCCGGGAATATTCTAGCTGTTGTCCGGTTGGTCTGCATGTTTAAAGTTAGTTCAGTAAGGATATGAACATGGTCACATCACCATTGGTCTGAACATGAAACTTTGCAGGTCAGGTTAATGGCCTTACCTCGATGATGACGTGCATGTCGAACTCCTTGGTGTTTAACCCGATGCCTTCGTAGAAAGCAGTTCGTTGACAGTCATTGAGGTACATAGTCACGTAGACCTGCAATTTTCCGACAACAATGGTCTCTTCCAGATCAATCCCAATGTCTGAAACGAAGCCAAGAGAAGTAGTGAAAGAAAAGGGAAGTGATAAGTGACCGAGAGGCAGAAGAAGCGAGCCCAGAGCTTGGCCTGCCAGTCGTTGAGGAACTGAGGCTGAGCCTTGAGCAATGCGGAGAAGAAATCTCCATGGCGGTTCTCGTCTTGGCACCAGTTCTCAAAGTACTTGAAGATGGGGTAGCATTGGAACTCGGGGTTCGCCTTAAGGTGCCTGTAGATGGTGATGTACCTCCAGTACCCGATTTTCTCGGACAAGTAGGTGGCGTAGAAGATGAACTTGGGTTTGAAGAAGGTGTACTTCCTGGCCTTTGTCAGGAAACCCAGGTCAAGAGCCAAGTTGAAATCTGACAAACCCTTGTTCAAGAACCTGCAAGTTGAAACAAAGATGGTTTCTGTCAGATTTTGTGTTGTCAGAGAGTGAGAACGAAGATCGATTTTCGCAGGGATTTTACCCGGCGTGTCTTGCCTCATCTCTGGACATAAGAGAGAAGAGCTCTGCCACAATTGGGTTGGTTTTCTGCAATGTCAACAGATGAAAATCAAGACAAGGTCAAGAATCTAATCCCAGAAAATAACAGCGAATTGTTCCGACAGCAAGACAAAGGGATAAACCTTGAGCCTTCGTCCGAGCTCCTTGTAGAGAAGGAAGCCAGAGAACTCAGCAGTGCAAGACCGCTCGAGGAACTCGACGAAGATCTGTCGGAGAGGGCCCTGGAGCTTGTCGGCTGCTTCCTTGAATTCCTTGTTCCTCACGAAATGGGTCTGGTTGTAATCGGCCTTGAACTCCTGAAGCAGAGCCTCGAACTCCGCCTGGTTCAGGTTCTTGTTTATCTCGGTGTTGAAGAGTTGCTCCATCTCCTCGAAATCCGTCGTGTAGAACCTCGGCGTTAGCAGCGTCTCATTTATCTCCTTCTTGTTCGCCTTCTTCGCCGTCACCGGCGGCGGCGGCGGAGACGCGGTGGCCGACATTCTCACGGTGGAAAAGCGTCGGCCCGCGAGGTATTTACTGGGGCTGGTGAACTTCGGCGAGGTGAATTTGGAAATGGGTTTCACCAGAGCCATCTCGGCCGCCATTGTTCTTGTGCTTCAGAACCAGAGAGAGAGAGAGAGAGAGAGAGAGAGAGAGAGAGATGGTCTCGAGAGGGAGAAGATGAGGCTATGAGGGGTTTAAAGCAGAACTGGTGTATTGTGCTCAAATCTCATCCAGTGAAAATCTGCCTGAAGTGGGCTCTTGACACGTGGCATTGCATTATAGGGCTGCCTGATTTCCTTGATTTGATAATATCGCGATTTTCAATGAATTAAGAGTTTCAGCAAAAGCTCCTAATGCAAATTTACATTTAGGTTTCCAAGTTTGCCCCAAAAATAGGAAAATAAATCAGATTTGTAATGCCCGAGATATACCCAGATGAGCCATTATGAGTTTCATGGTGAAAAAGGGTTCCTTGTGAGACAAGCAACTGTATCTGTAACGCAGGAAACCATCGAATAACCATGGAGTCTCCCTGTCTAAAATTCACACTAAATCTCCTATATTCCTTTCTCAGACATTAAAAAGTTACTCACTTCACGAGTAAAGAAGACTTTAATTCCCGATTATAGTTTACACAAAGCACAATTTTTCACCGGTCGATCGATCCAGAGCCTTTGAGGCTACCTGGACCTGACATCGACGCTCGAGTTTCTCATCAGATTCGTCGGTTCTTGATGACCCGGAACGAAAAACGGGTCGAACGCCGAACCCCCCGACCCTAATCCTTTCGTCTTGAGAGAATCACCCATGGTGTCGATTTCCATGTCGTATTTGTGCGGAGAACCGATGGCTCTGTCGAGCTCAGAGGCGATGGATCCAACCTCGATGTCGGGTTCTTCTTCAGGTGCCACGTCTCTAAAGTTGATCAAGGAAGGCGGGATCTTGTTGAAGAACAGCTCGTTGAAGTTCCTTGGGATTCCCTTCGTGTAAGGATTCTCCTTCTTGTCGTACCGGTACCTGAAGTTCTCGTAAGTTGTCTGCACTAGACAATATCCAGAGACAGAAAACCGAAATCTGTCAGAATCTTACAATCTGTTGATGTGGAACTGAAAGAATCTATGGAGGTAAAGAATCTTGCCTGATTGGTGCAGATCAGGTAAAGGTGGAAAACCGTGAGCCCGCCGACAAACCAGACAGCGACGAAGCAGTAAACTATGAGAATGATCGATAAGAAATCAGACGAGATGACGATCAAGCTCTCGCCGTGGAACTCGAGTATGCTGACCCACGAGAAGGCAAAGACGTAAAGGCAGAGGAGGGTTGAACACGATATGAAACAGATGAAGAACGAATAGTTACGCTGCAAAAATCAAGAACCGTGTCACACCATACGCAAGAATCGTTGTTCCGTCCGTTTTGCCCCGGAGGTGAAGAATGTATGGATTAGACTTACTAAGGCGATACACTGACCAACCCACGGACAGTGGTGATCGAACCTCTGGACACAGTTGTTGCAGATCGAGCAGTGAGAGGCACGAGGGGGGCGATACAACAGACAAGTATCGCAGAATTTCACTTTGACAGTGTAACCATTCACCATCACGTCCTTGGTCCGGGGTAATTTCGCATTCACGAGCTTGTTGGTAACCCATTCAGCCGACTGGGTCGGTACGTCAGCCATTTCTTCTGCCGCTTCAGGGGCTTCTTTGTTCCTCGGGATAATCCCGGGGTCTCTAGACGATGTCAAGAAAAGAAATGTGAAATCCTGCAGAAACAGAAGACGATACACTCGGTGAGATACGAGGATCGAGGAAGAAATCGTCCGAGGAAGGAAGAAATTGTTTATGATTTACCAACCAAGACAGTGAGAAGAATTGCGCCGAACAAGACGAGAGAGTTGAAGAAAGGGTCACGACGAGTGATCAGGTAGATCATCCTGGCGCAGAAAGCAATGGCGGGTGCTCCTATCATACACGTTGTCAGAAGAAGCGAAGATGCGTCCGGACCGAAGATCAGTCTTCCACTGCAACAAAATTTCTGAGAGACAAAAGCCCATCATCAAGCAAGCAGACAAGTCTGTTCTTAAATCTCGTCCTGAAAAACTGTAGTGATCCACAATTCCTAAAATCACGCATAAGATTCGCCATTTTCTGGGGAAAGAAACGAAATTCTACTTCGTGATTCGGACATGCGAGCAAAAGGGTACGGAATTCGCTATCAGGGTAAGCATCAAACCCTATCCAATCTCCGAAATCAATCAATTCGAAAGAGGAATCGAGACCAGAAGAAACAAAGAGAGGAGCTTTACGTTGTTTCCGGGCCAAACTTGGTAGATCTTCTTGGGTTGCGGAGACATGGCGATACCGTCGGGAGGAGCACTATGAACCTGACAGCTTTTCTTTCTCATTATCGTCATCAACCACCTCCTCCTCCTTCTTCCTCGAGAACCCCACAAATCAAAAGCTAAACGCCCACAGCTTCATCGTCATCATCATCATCTCCATTTGGCGCAGCAAGAGAATCGAAACCGGCGTTTCCAAAAACGCCGTTTTGCTGCAGGCGTTCAGCTTCTTCCCTCTTCTTCCTCCTCCTCGTAGCTTTGGTGTTGTTTTTGTTGGTGAAACGGTTTGTTCTGGTTTCTCTCTCCATTGACAGGACATCCCTCTCTGGAACTCCCTTAACTTGGCCTTCTCGCCACCACACCATTTCCTTCTCTCCCCCATTTTTCTGCGCCTAACCCTCTAAAACCCATCTCGCCACGTGTCAGAGTTGCCAAGTCACACTACTATTGACCGGCTGAGAAAGATAGACAAATGCATGTCATATATTTTCAGGGGTGTAAAATGGGTTAGTGGATCGGGCTTGGGCCAGGTCCGATAAGATTTCAGATCAATATCTGAACTGAAGGTCCGTTCAGATCGGGTTTCAGATTTTTGTTTTAATGCAGATACCAAACGACTTTTTATATTAATGACGTAATCATAAAAAACATCAAAATAACTAATTCAAAAAACTAAACCAAAAAAAAAAACAATATCATTAGTCATTTATATATATATTATATATAAATGAAGAAATTCTTCCCAAACGGCGTCGTATCACAGCAGAGAAATCGAAGCGAAGGGGTAGTCTCTTTGTTTGCATGGACAACAGCAAATACACTAATATAATGATGCAAACATGGCATTATGGGCACACCCACGTCGACGTTTTTAGTCGTCTGTTTTCAGACAAAGCCCCCTTTTCCTCTATTTGAATATAGAAGTTATTGGTCAATTTGATGGTCCCTCTCGTCACCTCCTAATTATTGGTCTGCCTCTCTTCCACCGTCCCCCACGACCCCCCTCCCTCTCTCATGAAATTGTAATTGCATGTTGTAGTTTGCGTTTTGACCTGTGTCGATATTTACTACGTTGACTTGAATTTACGAGATTCTGTTAGGGCGGTGAACGTGAAAATCCATGTTTGCGGAGTCCATCGCGCCACATATATACATTTGAAACTTCTCTCCCCCACGTCTGTCTCCAAAGAAGAAAAAAAAGAAAAAAGAAAATTCAAAACTCCCTATACAAATATATATATATATATATATATATATATGTATATGTAGTGTAGGTATAAATAAAGAAGTTGAGTTAAAGGAGTGGTAGGGTCAGTGTTTGAAAAATGTTTGGCATTGTCTCAGCAATGGAGACGTTATTGTTGCTGTGGGAGGTACCGTTTTCATGCGTCTTTTTTTTTTTCCATCTTATTTGTATGATGTTGACAATATCATTTTACCCAAGCCATGGACCATCACGCATTAAAAACAAATATATTATTCCTCTTCTCTCTTGTATTTCACGTCATTTGAGTAAATTATTTCATTTTGGGGAATCTTATTTCAACAACCCCAACTTTGTACTAACAAATATTATCCGATGGATTCGTGAAAAGGATCATTCGAATTAAAACACTCGAAAAAGAATAACATTGTGAGTCGTACTGAATGTTTGACGAATGTGGATTTCTCGACCATACGAAAATGGATTAATTTCTAATTTTCCATTACACCGATTTCCCCAAAAATATGAACAGACAGAATCCTTTCCTTTAGTCACTAGATTTTTCATATAAAAAGAAGAAGAAGAAGCAGAATTAATCTTAACACTATCGCAGCAGATCACATAACTTTCCAGGACTCGAGCGTCGGGTAGGTATCGAACTCCACGGCGGAGCCACCGATCTCCGCCGCAGCAATGGACTGGAACGATGTGATCGGCGACAACACCGAGCCAGTTCCGTCTCCAGAAAATGCATTGCTACCCGCCATTTGGCTCTCCTGGTGATGATTCGATAGAAAAGCCGACGTATCGAGCGTCGGAAGCCCCAACCGGTCCGACGGCTGCAGATTCGCGAGCCTCTGTGGCTCTGGCTTCACGATCGGAGCGAAAATGCTGTGGGACGAGCCGATGTGCTTGGCGCCGGTGACCTGCTGCACCATCTGCCGGAAATTCTCCGGATCCGCCGTTATAAACGTCGTCTGAGATTTCTTTGAAGTTCGAGATCGCCGTTTCAGAGGCTTACCAGCAGGACCACCGTTGCGCTTCCGTTTCGTGCCTGCGGTTTCCCGATCAGAGCCGGCGGATACGTTTGATAGATTCGTCGCCGGTGGAGGAGCCGGAGATAGCGGAGGCTCGGAGATCGCGGAGGAATCGAGAAGGGCGGAGGGATAGAGAGGATCGGAGAGGAGAATTTGGTTGTGGTGCTGCTGAGTGGTCGAGAAGGACTTGTGGAGCGCTCTGGTGAGCATATCGCTGTCGCGGGAGAAGGTAGACTCCGGAATCAGCCATGAATCGACACCCAAGCTCTGCCGAAACGGCCATGGCTCCACGCTCGTTAGCCCCTCCGATGACGCCATAACCACCAAGATTCCAGCCAAAAACCAGGAAAAACAACCGAAAAATATCGATCGATGGAATTGGGAAAAAAAGATTGAGAGATGATCAGTGCATTTTTTGAGCAAGGTTTCCAGTAGAAGAAGAAGAGAGTCGTATACGCTAGAGAGAGAGAGAGAGATGGAGGAGGTCGGAGGAGGCGGAAAATAAATAGGACGGCAGAAGGAGAGAGAGAGAGAAACCGCGTGACGAGGAGAGAGAAAAGACACGCGTCAGCTCATCAGTACGGAGCATTGACTCCTCATCCCGTCTCACGTTCACTCCCCCCATCTCTTGCTGTTTTTATTTAATTCCATTAAATTAAACACAGACCATTGGGATTAATATTGGAAAAGAATATACAAAATGTGCTCTTCATTTATTTTAACGGCAGTTTCGTAATTAATTGCCTTGTGGGTCCATAAAATAAAATACTTACTCATTTAATTCAAGGATATGTACTAATGCTTTCATCATTTTATACCCAAAATAAAATCAAGATACTTGATTATATTCGTCTAGTTATATATAAATCATACTCTCTCCGTTTCAAAATAATAGTTATTTTAGATTATTTCATATTTTTTAAAAAAGAGAGAAAAAGTCATATATATATCCTTATTTAATGATAAAAATAATATTATTATTAATAATTTATTAGAATTTGATAAGGATAAAATTGAAAACTATTGTAAAAAATATTTTAAAAATATAGAATGACAAATATTTTGAAACATAAAAAATAACCTAAAATTATAAATATTTTGAAACAGATGGAGTATTTATCAGAAATAATTGGTTCGATCACTAATTGATTTGGTAAGTAAAATTAGCCGCTTAAATTAATACGTATATCCGGGTGTGTGCGCGCGCGCGCACATATATTGAGACAAGGCTCGTCATCTCTCACCGTTTTCACGTCTCCCTATGGGGGTCAGTGGCGGACGCAGAAAATTTTATCGATGGGGGCAACAAAATAATAGTAATAAAAATATAAATATAAATATAAATATATATTATAAAATTTTATCTAAAAATATTTAGGTTCAACAAATAAATTCTATGATTTTTTATTTTTTAAAATATATTTATATAACTCCATTTATAATTGTTTGAATTATATTTTTGATAAAATAAACTAGACAATGACTCAAAAATTAAAAATTTAATGTATTATGGGTTAGATTTTTTTAGTAAATTATCGGTTGAACTTTCTACTAAATCAAATAAAAATTCAATAAATATATATACAGATAAATTTATAAGTATAATAAACATATAAAAACAAATAAATAAAAAATAACAAAGATTATTTAAATTTACAATTTTTACAAATATTTCTTCTTTTGTTTTAGTTTTTATTTTATTATAATTAAATTGACAATATTTTTTATTTGTCTAAAAAAAGTAAAAAACTTGAAAATAGAAAATAACAAAAAAACAATAGACTAATTTTTTTTATTAACTAACATCACAAAATATATGAAAAAAATCAAATTAGTGGGGTCCGTGAGAAATTTTTAGCGGGGGCATTAACATATTTTTTTAAAATTTTATTAAATTTTATAACTAATATTTTTAAAAGGAAAAAAACAGTGGGGGCCAGTGCCCCCACTCATCTCCACGTAGGTCCGCCACTGATGGGGGTTTTCCCTTTTAAAAAAAAAATCTCAAAACAACACTTTAATGTATTTATTATTAGCGTTATATATCTTAGCTCTGACAAAAATACGAATTAAATAATAATATTTAATTTAAAAGTGATTTAGATATATTTTCTTAAAACAACGTTAACTGAGTTTGAACGAAATACAGAATAAAATATAAAACGATTTGCATATTGTGGCCTGTTTGTTATTCTAATTTATTTTTTAAATAAATAGCCGCAAGTTAACTACTCCCACTCCTCTATGATATAATAGTAATTATTATTCTAAGATTTGGATGAATCCGAATCTTTCAAACTGTCAGGTTCTCCGGTCGACGCAGGCAACTGGCACATAAACTAACATACGAATTTAGATTTATTCGAGGAATCTAATCTTGAATATTTCAGAACCTAATAAGAACATTGTCTTAAAATACTGCAAACGTAAAATTTTAAATTGATATATAATATTTGTTAGTTATTTTAGAGTAGATTGGTGGAATTTAAAATCTCTCAAAGGATTCTTGTTTCACGTGTATTACAAGTGTGGTGGAGGAGTAAAATGCTTGTAAAAGACGTGTCGTGAATTGATTAAGTGTTAAGGGTTAGTCGGAAGATATTGAAGGTGGCTCGTTTGGCTCGGTTTTTCCGATAAAACAAAACTGGAAAAAATGAGCGACCGCTCAAAAAATTAGCGACCGCTCAAAAAATGAGCGACCGCTCGGAAAATGAGCGGGTAGCTCATTTTCTCTGATGAACAAAACTGGGAAAATGAGCGACCGCTGGAAAAATGAGCGACCGCTCGGAAAATGAGCGACCGAAAATGAGCGACCGGTCAGGAAAATGAGCGGGTAGCTCATTTTCTCTGATGAACAAAACTGGAAAATGAGCGACCGCTCGAAAAATGAGCGACCCGCCTGATTTTTCTGAGTTGTTCAAATGAACGAAAAATCGTGTCTGTTCGGAAAAAAACTTCTCTATCCTTGCACCTTTTGACTTTTGGAGTGTTAAAAACATTCCTAAACGTCTGAACACATATGTATGAAATCTAATTGATTTTTGAGAGATTTGTGAGCCTTGTTGGTGAAGAAAATTGCTACTTCTTCTCCATCTTTTACTGTTCATCTTCTTTCTCGGGTTTTTCTGTTTCGGGCAACGTTTGAGGAGCAGATCAATCGTTGCTGGTCTTCTTTGTATCTCTAAACGTATTCTCGGGATTCTCCTTTGCTCGGTGGGGAGGGAATAACGTTTTAGGAAAGTGAAATCACGCCTAGAAGATTATATCCGGGTTCTTACGTTTTTATTTCGATTTCATTATTTTTGTTGTTCTTTCCTGCTGTATCCAGACCCATTTTTTCTAACAATATTTTGAGTTTATTGAGTGATATTGGTTTGAGATTATTAAAATAATTGTATCCATTTGAAACTACGAAGTGAGGAATCCTATATGACAACACGACCCGTGATTATTACAGGTAAAAAACAATTAATTAATTTTGGGGAAAATGATTCTTTGTCAAGGGCTAAACTATATGGTTTTCTTTGATTAATATTTACAAGACCCAATAGACCAACTCACGTGAAAAAGGATTGACTTGAATCTAATTGGGTTTCTATTCTTAATTTCCGAATAGAGATTAAAAAACCCACATACAAAACCACCAAGGCATTATATCAAAAATACTCTTATTTTGCTATTCAACACATACCATTTTCCAATTGTCACCATATGATTAATGTAACCCAAAATATAGTGTGGTCACATTTTAATTTTATTGATTATAACGTTAAATTTATGATGATCTAACTAATTCATTATATTCATATCTTATATATCTTACTAATTATTTGATTAAAACATCATAAATTTAATGTTATAAACAATAAAATCAACATGTGACCACAATATATTTTGGGTCACATTGGTCACATGATCACAACTGGAAAAGTGTATGTGTTGAAGTAAGAATAGAAAAATAAGAGTATTTTTGATAATGTCCCAAAACCAAACACTTAGCAGCTATATATTTTTTTATTAAAAAAAATAATCCTAATTATCTGTATCCGATTTCTTTGTTACAAAAATAAGGTTGTCATAAAAAAATTAATTTTAAAACCCATATATTTTTTGGTGTTAAAATGCAAGTTATAATACCTCATATTAAATAATTTTTGCAATGGATGATTGCAGTCTTAGTCAGTTTGTCAAATTAATCGTCAACGTCAATCATTGTATTTGTGGAATTATGTCAGCAATGTCCATTCAGCAAGCTGGATTTTTTGGTTTACTTGCATTTATAGATAACATTAGAATCTTACCTTTACACCTTTTTTTTTTCTTCTTATTTTTATATTATTAATATTAATAAATATGGATTTCTTGTTTTCTTCAAATTCTTATATTTATGGTACCTATGAATAACTTTATATTATTATTGGTCAGAAAGAAAATACGGTGCCTTGTGACAAACATGTGATGCTTATAATTATTGGTTGATTATCATAATTATATGAATCTATATAAATAATTTTAAAATGAAACATACAGGTTAAACTCTTTGCAGATTTCATAATAATACTCCAATAATTCATTTACTGTTGATTGTCCTTATCCGAATCAAAAGACGCGAGCGATTACGTCAGCGTAGGTCAACGTCATGATGACGTAATGATGATGCTACTCTACTCACTTGTTTTTAAAAAAAAATTGAAGAATCGATAATATAGAATAAATTTAAAAAATTAGAAGCTAGGGTTTTTTGGTGGCATTGGACCATGGACCAAAGAAATCTCAATTGTGTATTGTCTTTGGGCTTCCAAATAGAGACTATATGTTTGGGCTTTAGGCCCAATAAAGTTTTACTGAAACTATTAGGGTTTTGTTTCAAATTAGGGCTCGGTAAGATATCGGGAGTTGGAATTGAAAAAAGATCAATGCTTTGGAGTTGAATCTCTCTGTGTTTAGTTTCTTCGTCTTCGCTGGAAAGATCATTACGCGAATTTGTCGGCCCACGACCAATCTGCCGACATTGACGCTGCTGCAAGAAATGCTGCTCTGGACGAAGTAAGTAAATCTACTGCTCTTTCTTCGATTATGCCCAGATTTCTTTTCTCTGTCTGGATGGCGTTCCGTCTTCTCCGTAAGCTCTTGTTTTGGAGAAGAGCGCTAGGTTGATTCTGTGCCGTGGATCGAAACCCAGAAGATTATACACGGGAAGTGTACAATGAATTGGGAAAAAACCCTAATTCTCGTCAACAATCTTCCATGTTCTCAGTTTGATCCCAATTTCTACCCGAGAACAGTATGCAGATCCCGGAAAACGTGGATGAAATATAGATGACAGAAATCTAATCATGACATATGTCTGATGAACTTACTTCGAACTTAAATCGTCGCAGATATTCAAATGGATGGACTTCAGTTCTTGAGATTGGCAGCTAGCTTGTGGGTCTAGGGTTTCGCCATGGAACTGTATCAAGCTCTGTTTCCGAAGGAGAGAGGAGAGAGAGAGATAAGACCGTTATGTCAATTATTATTTTTAAAATGAAGAGGAAAAATAATGTCTTGTTGTCATCCCCTAACAGGCCCAGGCCCATACACAAATGGGCCGAGAAACCCAAATTAAAAACACAGTCGTTTTAACGAGGCGAGAGCGTGACCTTCACGCGAGAAGAAGACCGCTGAGCCTTAGACAGGATCGATCTTCCAAGAAAGTAGGGATCGGGACAATAACTCTTCTCCTCCCCGCTTCTCTCCTCTCAACTTTCTAAGATTTGTCGATCTAAGATTCATAATGGCGGCTCAAGCTCAACGGCTCTCCTCTCGCAACGTTAGATCCCTGTTTGACTCCGTCGACGCTTTCTTGTTTGACTGCGATGGTACAATATTGCGGTCTTTCTTCCATCGTAGCTCTCTCATGGTGATGATCATCCTTCAGACATTGCGGCTTATGGGTTTTGTTGTCCCGATGATTCAGGTGTTATATGGAAAGGTGATAAGCTCATCGATGGCGTCTCTCACACTCTCGACACGCTCCGTTCCATGGTACCCCCACTGCCATTTCGATCGTCTGGTTCTGTCTTCATCCATCGTTGTAGTTTCTCTGTTTGGTTAGTGTTCGACCTTTTTTTCTCTTTGGGTGCGTCAGGGGAAGAAGCTAGTGTTCGTGACGAACAACTCGACGAAATCGAGGAAGCAATATGCCGAGAAATTCCAATCTCTTGGTGTCTCTTCTGTTACGGAGGTACATTTTCTTCTTACATTTCAAATGAACTCAACGTGGTTGGCAATTTCCCTGTGACTTAATCAATGTTTGGATGGGATTTGAAGGAGGAAATCTTCTCTTCTTCATTCGCTGCGGCTATGTACCTAAAGGTCAACAATTTCCCCAAGGACAAGAAGGTTTGTTCTGAATTCTGATTCTAACACACTGCGCGGTATTCAATTCAAATTTCAAACCCACCAGTATCATTCTGGAGATTGTTTATGATTCCACTACGTTTACAGGTTTATGTTATAGGTGGAGACGGCATTCTTGAGGAGCTTCGGCTTGCCGGTTTTACGGGTCTTGGTGGTCCTGTGAGTACTTTTCTTTGTTCATTTCGCCTCCAGGAACCGGTTCTTATGTTTCAGTTACTAACTGAAGTGATGATACCATGCAGGAAGATGGTGAAAAGAGGGTTCAACTGAGATCAAATTCTCTGTTTGAGCATGATAAAACTGTAATGTGACTTAAGCCTTCCTTCCTTTGCTTTCTTCTAGCTCCGGAATTTTGCAGTTTGCTTCTCTCGTTGAAACTCTTTTTTGATGGATATCGTCTCTTTCGTGGCTTGTTTATTACACCAGGTCGGAGCTGTGGTGGTTGGGCTGGACCCCAACATCAACTACTATAAGCTTCAGTAAGAAGGATAACCATCAAACACAAGTCTGTATGGATGTCCTTACAAATCTTGTCCTGTCAGCTTAGGCTTACACATTTGCAGGTATGGCACCCTCTGCGTGCGTGAGAATCCGGGTTGCCTTTTCATTGCGACCAACCGTGATGCAGTAGGTCATATGACTGATTTGCAAGAGTGGCCTGGTAAAGTTCTACTACTCACTACACAAGCTATCAGCTAGATTCCCCATGGATAGGATTCTTACCTTGGTAGTTCCAGGTGCCGGTTGTATGGTCGCTGCAATGTGTGGATCTACCGAACGAGAACCGATTGTTGTTGGAAAACCTTGTACTTTCATGATGGAATTTCTACTACAGAAGTAATAAGATCAAGAAGTTGTCTTTTCACAGCAAAATATTAGCCGTTACTGAGATCAAGAAGTTGTCTTTTCTCTTTTTTTCTTTTTTCTTTGCAGGTTTGGAATAGAAACGTCTAAAATGTGTATGGTGGGTGATAGACTCGACACCGATATCTTGTTTGGTCAGAATGCGGGCTGCAAAACCCTCCTCGTTCTTTCGGGTACGACTCTCTTTCGAGTTCTTCTCCACAGATTGAATTGCAGAAAATGAACTGAATGGTGATTTCGTGGTGGGAAATACATACAGGGGTGACAACCGAATCTGCCCTGCGACAAGAGGGTAACAAGGTTCAACCAGATTATTACACAAGCACTGTCTCTGATATTGTGAAGCTGATGGAGCCAGAGTTATAATTCAATACATGAAAATATGTAAGAGAAGGAACAAACCCATGAGTTCCTCCTTTTCACTGCCTTCATTGATTTGATCGTCTAAATAATATAGCAAACCGGATGGCATAGCCGGTCCGGTTCGGTTTTACTTGGTATTGAATTGCTTCAGCTCAAAACTTTGAACCGACTTGAAATTTCACTCTACATTCTTTTTTTTTATTGGGCCACTGAAAAGCTCAACAAGTGAAGCTTCTAACGATCCAACGAGTTTTATGGGCTGATCTCTAGTCTGAAAGGATCAAGGGTAAATGTGTAGTTTACATTCCGCACGTAGATAGATAAGAGCCGAATCAACTTGAGAACCGGATGAATTGCAAGCCCTAGGTTCAAAGATTCTCTCTCTCTTCGGGCTTTAACCCGCCATTGCGTCATGGCAAGGAAGAGGAAGCTCGGACCCAAATCGACCGGAGCGTCGGAGCCGCCACAGAAGCAGCAGCAGCTGGAGGAGCTGCAAAGGAAGCATGAGCAGTCAGAAATTAGGGATCGCGAGAATCGGGGAGACGGCGATGAAGATGTTGAGTACGAGGAAGTAGAGGAAGAGCGCGAAGAGGAAGCCGAAGACGGAGATGATGATTCCGAGGAAGAGGACGAAGATGGCGGCGGAGGAAGTGGTAATCAGATGGCGGGTTATCGTACGGAGGCGGTGACGTCGGGGTCTGGGAATCAGGGAGGTGAAGAAGACGGCGAGCCGATTCAGGATCTCTTGGAACCGTTCAGTAAGGATCAGTTGGTAATTCTCCTCAAGGATGCTGCCGAGAAGCACCCCGATGTAGCGAATCGTATCCGGAAAGTGGCGGATGCGGATCCTGTTCACCGGAAGATCTTTGTACATGGTCTTGGATGGGACACCAAAGCCGATGCGCTTATCGAAGCGTTCAAGCAGTATGGAGAGATCGAAGATTGCAAGGTCGTTGCTGATAAGATCTCCGGGAAATCAAAAGGGTATGGGTTTATTCTCTTCAAGTCACGCTCTGGTACTCGCAACGCGCTCAAGCAGCCCCAAAAGAAGATCGGGAATCGAATGACGGCGTGTCAGCTGGCTTCCGTTGGACCTGTACAGGGCGACCCGGCCGCGGCCGCTGCTTCGGCGCCTGCTCAGCATTCGTCCTCGGAATACACGCAGAGGAAGATTTATGTCAGTAACGTAGGGGCAGAGCTCGATCCCCAGAAGTTGATGGCATTTTTCTCCAGGTACGGAGAGATTGAAGAAGGTCCGTTGGGGCTTGATAAAGTAACCGGGAGACCAAAAGGGTTCTGCTTGTTTGTCTACAAGTCCCCCAAAGGCGCCAAGAAGGCTCTGGAGGAGCCTCACAAGAACTTCGAAGGCCATGTATTGCATTGCCAGAAAGCAATTGACGGTCCAAAACAGGGGAAACAGCATCACCATAACTCCCACAATCACAATGCTCGTTACCAAAGGAATGACAACAGTGGTTACAATGCAGGTGGAGGTCATGGGCATCTCACGGCTGGTAACCATAACCAGGCTGGTATGGCTGCTGCATCGGCACTAAACCCGACTCTCGGTCAGGCCCTCACGGCTTTGCTCGCAACTCAGGGTGCTGGATATGGACTGAATCCGGCAATTGGACAGGCTTTGTTGGGGTCTCTTGGGGCAGCTGCAGGCGTGAACCCTGCAGCTGCAGCTGGAATGCCTTCTGCTTATGGCACTCAAGCAAATATTTCACCAGGTGTCATCCCAGGTTACGGTGTTCAGGCTGGTTTGCAAGGCGGTGGCTATCCAAACCAACAGCCTGGGCAGGGCAGTACTGGAAGAGGGCAGCACGGTGTGGGGCAATATGGTGCTCCTTACATGGGTCACTAGATGTACCCGCTCAGGTATATTGATGCAGCCTCTTCTTGTTTCAGTTTACGTGGACATGGATTGAATGCATGATGACCCTGGTATGGTAATCTCCTATCCTGTTGTGACCATAATAGTTCAACAGTCCTTTCCGTTGCCAATTTTTATGTGCATTGATTCTCATCTGATGCTTTTTCAATGTGTAGTAACTTGTTTTTGTCTTTCGCATTTCTAACCTTCTCTTTGTTTGACTGATTTATAAAGGATTTTGTATTTGCACCATTTTGTAGTGCGAAAATCTTCTCTTATTTTCTTAATTCGTTGTGCAGATATCACAAAACAGTGTTTTAGTATTGGCCTGGTGATTCTTCTGAAGTTTATATGGAGCTGATGCAAAGAAGTCTTTATATTTTGGATGAAACGTTACTATTTGGTCACTCCAAAGCCAGACTCTTAAAACCACTTAAGAAGTTTTAGTTTTTTCTCGACCTGTTTTCCTCGACCCTCTTTGTGATATTACAAAAACATTGTACTATTTTCGGAGTTAATGTTTCGTTTTAAATCTTTTTGAACTATCATGTGTAAAAAGTGCTCCCTGTGGGCATACAAATGCTTTCTTTATGGTGTTATGTTTTATCAGTTTGTAATTTTCCATTGGTTTCTCCGATTTGACCATTTCAAGTTTTTCTATGCCTTCATTGTTGAATGTGGTGGAACTCAACTCGACCATTCAAGATCTCTGTGCCCATATTTTTTGTTACTTGCACGGGTTTTTTTTATATTTGTCAGATTATTATCAGACTATAGTTAAATGTATATTATGCAGGTCTCTCTGTGTATTATCCTCCTGATTTCCAGAGTCTATGATTGCTTAACCGTGATTCCTCTTGCAGGCAGCTGTGATGAGTGCAGGTTGAAACAGCTTATGGTATTTGCACTTGCAGTTACAAACTAACACAACTGAAAACTCTTTAGGAAATCTATACTAGTGTCTAGTCCTCTGTTTGAATATTAGAATGCTCTTACTCCAAAGTTTTGAATCTTCTTTTATTGACAAATGCACTATCTCAAACTTTGAATTAGTGGTCTACAAAGCTGAAACTTGGTTTCAAGGTGCTGTATAGCAATTGGCAGGGAAGCTCGAGATTGTCCTTTGAATGAAAGGTAAGCACACAAGGTGTAACGATGTCTCGTACTCTATTCTATCTCTTGCATTTATCCTTTTCTTTGTAAGCTCTGGTTCCTATGTATTGGATTGCTGGTTTCTTCTGCTTGAAACAGTTATTCCTCTCTGTTTTCTTGTTGGTGAGTGCTTGATTGCTTTTCTTTTCTTTTTGGTCCACTGAACTACAATGCTAACCACACTAACTTGGAAACTTTGATCCATTAAGAGGGTTTTAGTAGTTGTGTTTTTGCCCTTTCCTCCTGAATGATGTGGCATGGTTGGGTAATAAATCGTGTCGGTCGCTTCAATGTCGCTGCTTGCTCTTTTTTTGCCCGAGTTTCTGAAACTCCTTTAAGTAATTGCTGTCCATTTCACAAAACTGTTGGATAGATCGATTTTGCCATAATCTTGGGGAATTCTGTGTGTGTGAATTTTCTGCAACTACAATGCCGAATGTGGTGATGGTGATGGTGATGGAATCCATGTCACAGTGATGATTCAGGGATCTCAGAAGGCTATAAACAGAGGGAGACAATGGCGTGCGGCAAACATTGGCTTCCCTCTTGCAAAGTAACCAGCTTAATCGGTCGGTAGGTACGGGCGTGTTTCAAGTATATCCATGTCTCGTTATTAGTATTAATATTACCAAATTGTATATAATTCTTATTGTTGAATAAATATGTGTAATGTAGGATATTCGTTTCGAATATTAAGGTTTGGAGTGAGAACTGAGAACATTTGACACGTGGGAAACCGCACGCTCGAACCCAGATGCACCCCATTTTCCATTTCCCCACCACCAGACAATCCCCACGTGGTCCCTATTTGGGTTTGTCTCTCTTTTTTCCTTTTCTTCTTGTTTTTATATTTTCGTTTTTTCCCCACTTCTTGGTTACAGTTTGTGTTGAATCAATTTCCAAAAGGGGGTTTCGACTGTTAATTGCAATTATTATAGCTAATGATGATAAGTTTTTCTATAAATTTAATCGGACCGCCGTTTTTGGGGGCGTTTGGTACGGCCACTTGATGAAACTTGTTCATAAATGCAACTTTTCTTTTTATAGGACCATCAAAAGAGAGGGTTGGTGCCCATTCAAGCCATTGATCTAAAATTAGATGTACAAAAATTCCTTTTTTTTTGGAAGAATATATATGTGATGTGATGTGTAGTAGGAGGCGGGTATTATAAGTTAAAAGTGATTATAAAAATTTCATTTATATTCATCAATGCATTCCATTCCATAGATTTCAGGGTGGCAGGAGAGAGAACAAATGGAATTACAGTGACAAATTGTGATTTTTTTATCGTATGAAATTTGTCTTTTCCAACAAATCTGTTATGATTTGATATACAAAAACGAGAGGTGTATATGAATATGGTAAAGGAGACATTTCATGTGATTCCTTCCATTTTTGTACAAATAAAGGAAGCGTTTTGACAATTCTTAGGAAGGGGATCTGAAACAGTATCTGCATCGCCACTTTCCCAAACAAAAGGTTTCTCTCTCTCTCTCTCTCATCGATCAACAATAGAGAGAGAGTGTGATTTCTTTCTGCACTACCAAAGGTGTCCCACCCTCCACTTCTGAAAAAAAAAAGACCCAACCTTAGATCTGGTCCTAAAGCGCAAACTAAACAATACCCTGTTTTAGATTCAGTCTGTTTTTGTTGTTGTTTGGTCTTCAGAATCTCTTTCTCTGTTTGTTTTTACCATCTTCGCCTCTCTCTCTCCCGTCTCGTCGTTTCTTTTTTTCAGAATCCGGCATTTAACATCTGGGTTCGGACGCCGCATGCAATTTCCATGATCCTTTCGGATTGTCACGTCCTGGTGATTTCCTCTTTTTATCCGCCGTTTCGATTGGATTCGTGATCTGGGTCTTCCTTCTTTTTCTTATTTGTCTTCTCACTCCGCATGTTCTGTCTGAGTCGATTCTTCCGACGATTAGACTGTAGAAAAGGGGAATCTTTCTTGTCCATTCGATTTCTTCTTGCCTGATACGAAACGCTGGTTGGTAATTTTTTTTTTTCAGATATAGCCATTAATTCACTTCTTCCCAGTTCCCGTTGTGCGTGGAAATCGCATTCGTGGTCTAAGGTTTCGATTAGGTATCTGGGATTGTAAGCACGGACCTGTGATTTTTCATGGTAATGGGTTCTCTGCGAGGCACTGGGGAAGAACCTAAATCTCAGACATTGCCAAGGCAAGGCTCTCTCTATAGCTTAACGCTCGACGAGGTTCAAACCCACTTGGGCGAATCGGGGAGACCTCTGGGAAGCATGAACCTCGATGAACTGCTTAAGAGTGTCTGGTCTGCCGAAGCTAATCAATCATCATCGGCCATGCCCGTCAATGGTGCAGGACATGGCCTTTCTCGTCAGGGAAGCTTGACTTTGCCCGGTGAACTCAGCAAGAAGACTGTTGACGAGGTCTGGAGAGAGATTCAGCAGAACAAGAATGGAGGCAGTGCCCACGAGAGGAAAGATAAGCAGCCGACACTCGGTGAAATGACTCTTGAGGACTTGTTGTTGAAGGCCGGGGTGGTGACAGAGACAATCCCTGGTTCAGACAGTGGCGGTAATGGTTTAGGGCAAAACATTCCTCAACAGGGCCCTTGGGTGCAATATCATCAGCTCCCGTCAATGCCACAGCCTCAAGCATTTATGCCATACCCAGTTTCTGAAATGCAAGCCATGGTGTCACCATTGATGGGTGGTTTATCAGATACACAAGCACCTGGTCGGAAGAGGGTGGCCTCCGGAGACGTTGCAGAGAAGACCGTAGAGAGGAGGCAGAAGAGAATGATCAAGAACAGAGAATCTGCCGCACGTTCACGAGCTAGGAAGCAGGTGAGAGAGTAACTTCTGTAGGGATTACGTTGTTTCTAGGCATTGTTTTTATATCGGTCCTAACTGCGGTGCGAGACTGAGCAATGATGGGCAGGCTTACACGCATGAGCTAGAGATAAAGATTTCGCGGTTAGAGGAAGAAAATGAGAGGTTAAGGAGAGAAAAGGTAAAACAGTTTTGGTCCTTCCATTGTTATTTCCCAATTCACAGCATTTTCGAGCTATTTAGTACCGGTTTTAGGATCTGAGTAGCAATGGTGTTTGTTTACCGGTAGAGTGCCTGCTTAGGAGTGTGCGTTTTTCTAGCATTCGGGGAGCATGTTGGTCTGATGAGGATGTAACAATGGATCAAGACATAAGGGTTGAATCATGAATAAGATAACACATTGGAAACACTTTGTTGGTTCTTGCAATCGAGTCGAGCGATCTTGTTAGTTGCATGAGTTGAGTTGTTGTGTTGATCAGATTCAGACAGTTCCTCTCTTAGAAGTCAGGTTCTGTAGGAGATACTAAGTTTAAGTAACTCTCGTTTTATGATTATGTATCAAGCTCATTTGGACCGTGTGTGTACTGAACAGGAGGTGGAGAAGGTCCTTCCAACTGCACCGCCTCCCGACCCAAAGCGGCAGCTGCGGCGGACAAGCTCCGCCTCTTTCTGATCTCTTCTCTCTTCTCAGTGTCAGTTCATATGCCCTAGCAAATGTTCATGTTTCAGACACATGACCGTTAAAGAGTTGCTGCTGGTGCTGGTTGTCGTCAAGCCATTGAGAAGAAAAAAAATCTTTCTCTGTACATTTCGCGCAAGACTTTCTCATTGAACTCAGCTACATTCTGCTTTGTTAATGTCGTGAAACTTTCTGGGTTTTTTTTTCTCTCACTGTTGATCATTAACAATGAAATCTTCACCGACAGCCAAGTAAGTTGGCTACTTGGTGGTGGATCAGACCCTTGTTGGATATCTCTCTAAAGTTCAGAACTTTCAGACCATTTCAAGAATCTGGCAGACATATGTTCTGCAATAGCCAAGCTTCAAGGGATTGAATGGGAGCCCATGATTGAATGAAAGAGCTGAAAGATCATTAGAATTCACAGGAGATGAAGAAAGAATCCTCCCATGGAAGTGTAAAACAGGAGACCGGGACATACTTTTCTGCTGCCATGCCCATGGCTGTGCTTGTGGTAACAGTTGAAGGCATTGGAGCTCTAATGTACAAAGCCTCTGCCCGTGAAGAAACAGGGACAGAAGAGAAGACAACCCTTTTGTCATATCAATATGAAGAGATTAACTGTCATAAAAATCTAGTTGTACATTTCATAGTCTTGGGCAATACGATATATAGCAGCTTTTGTTTTGGATGTTTTAGTTTTTTTAATACAAAAAAGTTAATTTGTTTTTTTATTTAAATAATAAAAAAATAGATCATGACAGGATTTAATAGAAAAACCAACCCGGAAAGCCACCGGGGGTTGAGCGGGAGAGTCGGAGAGGACCCAGCGAGAAAGCTGACGTGGCAGTCAACGCTCCGCGTAGAGACCGCGTGAACGTGTGATCCATTTCCTGTCAACTTCGCCCCCAAAAAATAAAAAATCAAACTCGATGGCATAACCGTAAATAGGGGGAATAACGGAGGGCGTAACGGAGAATGAGAATTCAAATCGGGTTGATAAATCGCCTCGAGTCCGACTGCGGAGCATAAGAAAGGGTTCTCTCTCGATCTCGCAATCTACTGAATATTCCAACGCTGTAGGTTTTCGAAAAGAAGAAAGGGAAAACAATGGCGGATCAGCTCACCGACGACCAGATCTCCGAGTTCAAGGAAGCCTTCAGCTTATTCGACAAGGATGGAGACGGTTCGTTTTTCTCTCCTTTAACATATATGGTTCTGTTTGCGTAGATGTTTTATATGCATAAATGCTAATTGATCGTAGATATACTGATTGTGTTAGATCTCGGTTTCGGATTCTTCTGATTCCGGGGGATTTGATCTGTATGTATATCAATGGTTATAGATCTGTGTCTCGAGATATCTAGCTCCGTGTTTTGATTCAAGGTGATGTTTCTTCATCGGGGGACCGGATCGTATCGTGTTTCATGATTCGAGTTTGGATAATATAGTCAATCGATTCGATTTGCCAGACGTCCGCCATTTCAGTTTTGATTTATGTCGTCGTTCGTTTTAATTACTGATTGTTGTTGTTCCCTCAATATGCCACCGGATTATACTTTTCCAAATGCGTGGGTACGGCTGATCAATTTGCCGTCCCTTCAAAGTTTTGGACGAGGCTTAATTATCTCAGTTTAAATCGGTCCTGTGATTCAGCTTGGCATCTCGTGCTGGGAATAGAAAGTTGTATATGGTTAATTCTGTCAAAGGCTTTCAAAGCGACAGAATTGGGAGGATTTGGGACATCGTTTCGTTTATTGGCATTCGGCAGTGACATGTTTGTTTCCTGTTTGAGTTTTATGCAGTGTATCAAATGATGTTTTTTTTTTCTTCTGGGGATGAGTTTCATTTGGGAATTCCCAATTTGTCATCTTCAACAAGTGAAAACAGAATGGTGAATTTATGTGACAACAATCTGAGAATTCTTGCAGGTTGCATTACCACCAAGGAGCTTGGGACTGTGATGCGTTCGCTTGGGCAGAACCCAACTGAGGCAGAGCTCCAGGACATGATCAATGAGGTGGATGCTGATGGAAACGGAACCATAGACTTCCCAGAGTTCTTGAACCTCATGGCGAGGAAGATGAAGGACACCGACTCAGAGGAAGAACTCAAGGAGGCGTTCCGGGTCTTCGACAAGGACCAGAATGGTTTCATCTCGGCAGCTGAGCTCCGTCATGTGATGACAAACCTCGGTGAGAAGCTGACGGACGAAGAAGTCGATGAGATGATCAGGGAGGCCGATGTCGACGGTGATGGCCAGATAAATTACGAGGAGTTCGTCAAGGTTATGATGGCCAAATGATGTGGGCGGAACCGTAACCTAAGTTTGGTTTCTTCTCCTGCTAATACCCTCTTTGTAATTCCTAGTTGCTTTTCCTTTCAAAAAAATGAAACAGAAGGAAAAAAAAAAAAAAAAAAAAGAGTTCCCGGCGCTGTTATGTTCTTATTTCATTCATGGAGTTTTTTGGCTAATGTTTTATCTCGTTTGCTTCCGACATTGGTAACATTTTTTGTTCCCCGCCCTCTTGCTCTCTTTGTAATATGGTTCTTTGTATCATTACCATATCATGTTTTTTATGTGCTTCGAAGACAGCTGTAACAGCTATTCCTATTTGTACTCTTCTTAAATGGCTTCTCCTCATGCGAGGCGGAGAACACGACGGACGATGTTGTTTTTTGCTATGGACGGTTGTGGCCGGGTATTCGAGATTTCGGATCTCTCCGTCTCGATTTTGCTCCCTTTTGGGTTTTAGGGTTAGAATACTCGCTTTTGGTTTTGTGATGGTCGGGTACTCGTGAGGTGTGGCGCAGATTCGAGTATCCGCAGGGGTACTGGCCAATGTCGAGTCAAGACTCAAGAGGACTGGTGGCCAAGAGGGTTGAGGTGTAAGCGGTCCAACAAGAGGTGAGGCGAGGCAGCGAATGAGAGGTGAGCGGCAAGGCTGGCAGCAGAGGTGAGCGGACCATCACGTGGTTTCACCCCCTTCATCGTCGTCTCTTTTCTCCTACGGCCGCTCTGCTATCCGTGGTTCATGAAAAGTCGACCGACGAAATTCGTACTCGTGATTTTGGAGATGGAGTCGATGAGTAAGTAGTACACTGTGCAGGGCTTTATCGGGCCTTTATTCTTTTGACCCAATCAGGCCGACTTTGGGCTCCAACTGGGCCTCGCTTATTGTGATATTACTTATTTGAGATATTCCATTTAATTTTTATTGCGAATATGAATAAAACTTCAGTTAATAAAATTTTAAAAAAATGATGAAAATTGTACGGGCGAGCACATGGACCTGTTCCCTATTATCCATGTCTTATAGATATGTTAGTTTAAAAAAAAATTCCAATTAAAGTCGTTCATATATAGTTATTTGATGCGATATAACATGGGAATAAAAGTTTGAAATTCATTTTAATTTTGTTATTTGTGGTAAGGGAAAATATCATTGCATTTTTTTTTAATATTGTCCAAAAGCTACATTTCATAGACGGCAATAAGTTCATCGGCTAAAACAAACTGAGCCACGAGGGATGGATCATTATATCTCACGAGATTAAAGTAAGCATATGCCAATTGCCAAAACAAAACATTCTTTTAGCTTATCTTCTGACATAAATAACTCAACAATAAAATATTATATATACATACATACATACACATATATATAATACCAAAATTGTATAATTTTCGAGTTCCAGAACACGGGGCAAATTATCTAAGCCCTAGAGAGAGAGGAGCCTTCCAATATTCCCTCCGCCCCACGTTCTGCTGCAGCAACGCTTTTTCCACCCAATGTATATATTATATCTCCATTATTATTCAATATAACTCTTATTACCAAATCTCTATTATTTAAATATATTAATCTACAAACCTTATTCTTTATCCCCTCTCTCTCTCTCTCTCTCTCTCTCTCTCTCTCTCTCTCTCTATATATATATATATATATATATATATATATATATATATAAAAAAAAATACGCGGTCTGAATCTGAATGATTCGGTTTCCTTTATTTATTTCTCGACCCAACATTTAAAAAAACAGGGGGAACAAAAGAAATAGGAAGGCGGCGGAGCGGAAGAGGTGAAGAAGCAAAGAAGAAGAAAAAAATGCAGCCAGAGGATAGTAATTCGGAACAGCTGTTGTATTCGTTGCTGGCCGGAAACGACGTCGTGGCGGGGGGGGGGGGGGAACGCGACGTCGAGCTTCTGTGGCTCATCGACGACGTCGTATTACCCGCTGGCGATCTCAGGCATCGGAGAGACGATGGCTCAGGACAGAGCTCTCGCCGCTCTGAGGAACCACAAGGAGGCCGAGAGGAGGAGGAGAGAGAGGATCAACTCCCATCTCAACAAGCTCAGGACCCTTCTCTCTTGTAATTCCAAGGTAGGTATATATATACATATATATATATATATGAGTCTGTGTGCATGGGATATATTTGTTTGAGATTTTGAAATGGGTATTTTCAATTTTAGTTTTGGTTTTGAATACCCTTTAATTAGTGAAAAGATTTTTTTTTTTTTTTGGATTCTTCTACTTGAGTTGATGGCAGCCGAATCAATTCTCTTTAGATATTTATTGGTTTGGACTGAAATTGAGAATTCAGAGGTTTCGATCTGAGCAAGGAATTCTTGTGAGTATCCATACATCTGCGTACGTGAAGTACACTCTCGCATTTAGTTATATATTGATTAGATGTGAGATCGGGGGCTTGAGAGTTGTGTATTGGCGAAGAGGGCAGGGATCTGAAACCCCAAATGCATGTGTCATCTGTGCCCTTTTTAGGTTTAATGAGGCGTTTTGAGTATCGAAAACCTGAAAGTAGGGAGAATATCTTCAATATGAAAGCTTGGTGGCCTTTCTGAAATTGTAGGGCTATCACTTTTTCAGGAAAGCTTCCAAGCTTTTTTCTTCGGTTTCTTTTTTATTCTTCCTTTCTTCGACAATGGACATCTTTCCTGCTTTGCAGACAGACAAGGCGACATTGCTTGCCAAAGTGGTTCAACGAGTCAAAGAACTGAAACAGCAAACCCTAGAGATATCTGAAGCCGAAACCCTTCCCTCCGAGACCGATGAGATCAGCGTCTTACACTTTGGAGACTGTTCCAGCGACGGTCGAATCATCTTCAAAGCCTCTCTTTGCTGCGACGACCGGTCCGATCTCTTACCGGATCTCACAGAGATACTGAAGTCTCTTCAAATGAAGACACTTCGAGCCGAAATGGCGACGGTCGGCGGCCGGACAAGGAGTGTTCTGGTCGTAGCCGCCGACAAGGAACACGGCGTCGAGTCCGTTCATTTCCTCCAGAACGCTCTCAAGTCTTTGCTCGAGCGATCGCGCAAGTCGTTGATGGAACGTTCGGGTGGTGGCGGTGGGGATCGCTCAAAACGACGCCGTGCTTTGGAGCACATCATCATGGTCTAAACCGGGACTAGGGTTTTGTCATAACTAATCAAAAAAATCCTCTTTTTTTTTTTAAAAAAAAAATTATGCTTTGTGATCTCCATTAGTTTAAGCTGTGTGTGAGCATATTCTGTAAGTAGGTTTGGTTGGTGTGTTGTTTTAAGAAAACGGAAATATATATATATATATATATATATATATATATATATATATATTTTTGTTTATTATCTTTCTCTTTTTTTTTCTACTGAATTTCTTAATTTTATTTAAAAAAAAACATACTTAATCATTTTCGTGTTTCAAGTAAATAATAAAATCAAATATTTCCAAGAAATAATAAATATAATTACAATAATCAAATGTTTTGGATACCCTATTGATATTCATACCACATGTATACCCAAGTAAATGTTACATCAATGAAAAAAAAATGTTATACATCAATGATTGTATCATTGGGAAAAAAACTATATACATACGTATTATATATATATATATATATATATATATATATAATTTTGGATATTAGGTTTCTCTTTTTTTTTCTTCGTTTGGGTGTTTTCAGATTGTGGAGTATCTGGTGAGGCGCAGAAGAATCTAAGAGGCAGATGTGATAGGTGAAGTCGTAAGTGGGGAAGAGGAGATACATACATATGTATTCACAAACAAGATCGGTGTATGTATATGTATGTACGTATGTATCGTATATGCCATATGCATGTCTGTGTCCTTGTTGGGGTTATGTTTGTAGAATCTTATTATATGAACTATACGAAAAAGAAAAAAAGAAAAAAAAACAGATGTTTGTTTACTATTGAGCTTGAAAGCGACCTTGTGTCATCTTGTCCCCGGTCGATGGATTTGTTGTACGTAATTGACCGTTAATTTTGACCAAGCTTCATTATTTTCAGACCGCGAATTTAGGACATGATTTTTGTATCGCGGAATCAATCATAAATATGGCAAACTATATAGCTTTACGTAATATCTATATATATATATATATATATATACATATATATACACACACACACGCACATGTGTAACTCGTTAGTGCATGCAGAGGAATTAATATAAATCGAGGTCAATCACTAGCTAGATCAATGACATTACAATCTGTTGTTACGTTATATATATTGACCATTCACATACGCATAACCTTCGAAATATCATTTATTTTTTAAAATAAACATCACATTTTCGGTATGAGTTCCAGCAAAAATGTTTGATAAATATACGATGACATAAAGACACGTGAAAAATAAATGCAATTTGAAATTTCTTCTCTTGTTATACTTGTCAACAAGTATGTTCATGTGCATGAATCATATACATTTTGGTAAGAATGTGAATCTATTTGCTCAAAAAAGAATATTGGTTTTGATTACATTCCGGTTTTTAAACCGTAGATCAAAAGCATTGGAACTTCCATAGCAGGTGGAAAAATCAAAAAGATCTTTTTGCATGGCTTGTTGTAATAGGAGCTTTCAAGGAGGCCTTGTAGCATGGTACCAATCTTGTAGGAGCAGGTTTTCGGATATTGGCTTCCCCTTGTGAGAGGATAGAATGATGTTTCGGATTAGGCGGTCAAGTTTTCTCCTTCCTCCCTCGATCGTGGTTGATCGAGATTGGAAGATACGGTGGTTTCTCTCCCGCCATAAGGAATAGATCGTTGCTTGCAGAAGAATCTTGGTTAGAATCCTCTGGTTTCGTACTCTGTCTTGAGTTCTTCCTTCCAACCAAGTGATGGCTTGTTGGAGTGTGTTCGGTGGTTCTATCGCGATTCTGCGTGCGTAGTAGAGCCAGATACTCGAGCTATATATGCATTCAAGAAATAGGTGATCATGCGTCTCGTTTGCCACCGAGCAGAGAGGACACATTGGGTCTGTTTGGATCCCCCACCTAATCATTCTGTCTTTCGTTGGGAGACGGCCAAGGAATGCTTGCCACTGAATGAATGCGTGTCTGGGTATCATCTGGTGGAACCAGACAACTTTGTGCCATTCTACTGTCGGGGAAGTTGATCTGATCAGATTCCAGGTCTTGGCGGTGGAAAAAGCCGGTTTGAAGTCATCGGCTGAGTGTTTCCATAATGTAATGTCGGGTCCTCGGGTTGTTGAAGGGGGGTCGATGGTAGTGAGGGTTTGCTGTAGACGCAGAGCCGGGGCAGACCTTGCAGGGGGGAGAGTCCATCCACCATTCGAGGAGGCTTCCTGAACTGTTGACTGTAGGGGAATGCGCAACTGCCGCGGTCCATGTTGTCCGATGAGCTCTATGAGTGGTCCGAGTCCTGTCCAGTCGTCAAACCAGAAGTGGGTGTTTTTTCCATCACCAATCTTTGTCTTGAGAAATGGTCGAACTTTGTCCTTGATTCCTATAAGCTTGCGCAGGTTCCAAGTTTGGCGGAGTGATGAGGCCGTTGCCCAATAGGATCTCCTCTTGAAGACGTGTTCTCTTAGCCACGCCACCCACAGAGATCCAGCTTTAGCAAGGAGTAACCAGACCAACTTGAACCTAGAAGTGAGGTTGATGTCGCTGAGCTTTCGGAGACCTAAGCCTCCTTCCTGCTTCGGTTGGCATATACTGCTCCATGATACTCTGTATGAACCCGTGGAGCTCGTCTTCCAGAGGAATTTGGCACACATGCTGTCTATTTGCCTGAGCAAATATTTTGGCAGCAGAAACACAGAACACCATGAGTTAACCAAACCATAAATGACAGAGGATATTAGTTGTACCTTGCCCGCATAGGAGAGGAAAGACGTAGTCCAGGATTGGAGCTTGGTAGTAATCCTCTCTATGAGTGGTTGATAATCCAGCTTGGAAGGCTTCCATGGGCTCAAGGGGACACCAAGATATCGTATTGGTAGTGTGCCTTTTCGGACCCCCATGATTGCAGCTAGATCAGTCGCGATTTGATCATTCACCCCGGCTGTGAAGAGGTCTGATTTGGTTTGGTTTATCTGCAGTCCAGAGTAGCTCGCAAACACCTCCAGGATGTTTTTTATTTCGCTGATGGAATCGTGTTTTGCCTCTGAGAATATGATCACATCATCTGCAAAAGACAAGTGGGTGATCAATGGATTTATACAGCCTTGATGGGGTTTTAGCTTACCTGAGGCTGCCGAATCGTTAAGCATCCTTGATAGAATCTCCATTGAGAGAATGAACAGGTAGGGTGACAAGGGATCTCCTTGTCGTAGTCCTCTTCCTCCCGGAAAATATCCCACAAGTTCTCCGTTAACTGATATCGAGAATTTCGTCGTTGTTATGCATTGTCTGATCCATCGGATGAATTTTCCCGGTAATCTCATGGCTTGCAAGATGCTGATGATGAAATTCCAGTTTACGGTAACGAACTGAATCATATACATGACATATATAGGATGCATTCTTCGTCGTTTTTAGGTTACATTATGTATACGTAAGATTCATACAGGGGCCTAATCGTTACTTTAACATAACACAGCTCGATTCGATAGAGAAATGTTAATTTAATATAAAAAAATAATATAAAAACAAGAAGTGTATTCAATGGATCAGTGGCGGACCGAGAGAAATGTATAATTGGGAGTAAATTTATTTTTATTATAAGCAATTTAATTTTATGGGGGGTATTTTATAATTTTATTCTAAATTTTACATAATTTTTTTTTTGTATAGAAAATAAACTTTTGTTAGTGATTGAATGGGGCATATGCCCCATAGTATGTAGATCACCATGACGTGTGCGAGTTTGAATCAGATTAGCCGCAAATATCAAGTACCAATCCATTGGATGACAACCGATAATTAAGGGATGAAACAAAACTCTATTATATATAGCATATATATGCTTTGTTGGTCTACATTTTTGTATTTTTTTCGCATCAAGTCATCATTGGATCGTATATAACCAAAGTTTTGTCTTAAATTATCAATTTGATATATATATATATAGAGAGAGAGAGAGAGAGAGAGAGAGAGAGAGATCGTGGGAGAGGAAGTAGAAGAAGAAGAAGGTGAAGGCGTGAAAAAAGGCAACTGACAAAAGGGAGGGAAGAATTGATGGGTTTTTATTCAATGAAGACAAAAAGGACCGACTCTTCCTCTCTGTCCCCTTTTCCTTTTCCTCTTTGTTGGCTCCTTTTTTAAAAAAAAAAAAAATTTAAAATTTTTATTTTATTTTTGTTATCGTTGTGGATATATTTTTGGAATACTTTCGTAATCATTCTCATTATTTATCCTGCTATTTCAGTCTAACTCAACAATATAAAACGCTATTAGATAATATTTTAAATTGTTATTATTATAAATAAATTTTATATGATAAAATACGGAATAAAATAAATAAAATTATAACGTCGATATCAGTGGTGAAATAAAATCTATTATTTTTTTTATTTTGTTAGTCATTACCTTAACATTATAATTTTATATTATATAGATATATTTTCGTGTTTTATTATGATTGATGGTTTATATCAAAACTGCCTTAGGGAAATTTAGTGAAATATCATATGTTAAAACAAAAATTAAATCATACATAAATCAAAATATTTAATATTTGAATTTAATTAGTTATCATATACTGTTATTAGTTTGTGGTTTTAACATTTCAATCCCGGTGAGTATTCATTAGCGGAAGTTTTGGGTTCGGTCAGTCAATGATTCACGCAGTTTTCACATTGAATACAAAACATCAAGCATATATATATACATATAATATGCTTACACAAATAAAGAAAATCATTGTTATAAGCACCAAGTTAAATGCCCAATAAAATGAAACCATGAACAATCAAACAAAACTAAGATACAACAGGTAAATTTTTAAAAATAAAAACAAAAACTTGTATGGACTTTCATATCGGAGATAATAAAAAGATAAAATGTGAAAGGGGACAGAGAGAAGAGAAAGGGGGAAAAGGTGGAGGGAGATTTGTCCGAGGGGCGTGGTGGTTTCGGACAGATGATGTCCCCTCTTTCTTCTAAACCCCTTATCTATATTTATTTATTTATTTATTTTTAAACCATACATTTTTGTACTGCTTTTTATTTTATTTTTGTTTGTAAATTAAAAAAATAGATGATTTTTTTTTTTGTGTGGCAAAAGCAATGATTAACCCCACACATGAGTGTCTTTGACTTGACGTGGTGTGAACATTGTGATTGCGAGTGCCCTTTCCCATCCCAAGTAATTATCTTTGACCACCTTATTTCCATTTTCATTATTTTCCCCCCTTTTTCCTTTCCTTAATTTAAATTCAGAAACGTGACAAATTAATTCTTGATTAGGGAATAAAATACACAATATATAAATACATATATATACGAGAGAGGGGGGGAGGGGTAAATTGGGCACAAACATAGATAGTGGAGGACGTACATATATGTTGACGATCCATCAAACTGCACTGCGTACACAAATAATAATATTCTGAGTCAATGGGCTTATGATGTTTGATGAACAGTATTTCCCCATCACTTTATAATCGTGCCTCAAGTACCATTTATGACATTCTTGGCTTGTGTTTGATATTATATATATATATATATGCACACATGCATATACATATACATATACATATACAGGTACTCACAAATATATCAATTGATAAAGAACTTTTAAAATGAGGCCCATGAAAGGTCCAATATAATTGAGTGGACCGGCCCAATTGCCATAAGATTCCAGAGAATATTTTTTTTCCAAGAAGTTTTCTAACTAATCGTCAAAGGTTATTGATTCAGACATCAAAAAAGCATACATGAGATCATCAGAAGAGTTTCACTACAGAACACGAGTACCTGTCGGAATCTGATTCAGAAACCTCATGCCACAATATCCTATCTCACACAGATCATCATCATCATCATCATCAATTTTCTTTCCTGGAAAAAAAAAACCCTAACAGAGATGGAGTGAACTCACTTCGTCGGCTTTCCATTGGCCTTCCTCGTACTTGTACCATCTCACGATCCCTTCGTCCATCTCCGTCCTCTGGCACATCACGCACGTCTCCAGCTCCATACACGTCAAGAACTTCCTCAGCCTCGCGGCCTTCTCCATTATCCTCGAGTCCAGTTCCCTCACCACCCGTCTCTGATGCGTCAGTCCCCTCGCCGGCTCCACGACATAGGAGTGAGATATGTTGAGCACTTCCAGGTTCGGCAGCCCGTCGAGGATGGCTAAGAGAGCATCGTAGTTAATGGAAGAGCATCTGAGGCTCAGAACTCGCAGGCCCGGGAGGAGGGAGATGAGGGTGTTTGCGAAAAATGGCTCGAACGGTCCCATGATCTTGAGCTCGGTGAAGTTCCTGCAGTTCTTGGCGATCTCCGCCATTAGATATGGCGGGTTTGCGATGCTTGGCATTGTCAGAGACTCTAGATCTTTCCAGATGCGTATCGACTTGCATATCCCCGTCTTCTTTATCCTGTTCCATGCCGGGAGAACTAGTCGTTTCAAGCAAGGGCTCCTGCAACACAGAAAATAATAGTCAGAGCTAGTTGCCCTGAAAGTTTCAGACTATTGGAAGATGAGATCAAACCCATTTCAAATACGCAATCCAAGTATGGATCAACCTCGACGTGAAAAAGCCAAAATCATTAGCTTGCTTCTTAGAACCAAGAAAAGGATTCTTTTAACATATCTAGAAAGCCGAGAATCACAAACTGTGAAAAGGAAAAGGACGAGAGTGTGAAAAGACTTTACCTTTCAGCTGTGTAAGTAAGTTGCTCGTCGCTGACAAACAAGTTGAAATGAAAAATCAAGGTTGTGGTGCTTCCCCTGCTAAGGTTCATGGACAGTTTAAGGACCCGAGTCAGCGTCTCATCTGAGCGACGTTCCACATATACATACGGCTCCAAAGGGATCTTGATGAAATGCGATTTCATAAAAGATAGATCGAGTGTTTTCCACAGAATGGGATCGCAGCAAGCCACTCGCCATCCACTACAAACATGTGCTAAGCCTGAAGTCAACTCAAAGACGCTAAATCTCTGGAAGATCTTCACTAAGATGTCGGTGTCCAAGTCTTCCCATCTCCTGATAACCGCCTCGCTGTCTTCTTCCATTGTCAGAAACTCGAGAGGAGATTCTTGAAAGTAGCTGTTATGGCATACTGTCATAACGCAGAGCCCTAGACGAGCAGGAGAATGTTTATCAAACTAACTGAAAACCAGAAAACTTAGATGTGGAAAAAGACATATATGAAGCTTACCGAAAAGAAAGAGAACGGGAGATCGGCACGCAAAGTACAAGCAATGTCCTCAGAACTTTTGGTGACCCACTGCGTCAAAGAAACAGTAAGGGCTCAGTGAAAGTCGAGGACTTTCAGATTGAATTTTAGAGAGAATTTAAAATGGTTTGAGGAAATATCTCGTGTTATTCATTCAAATATTGCCCGTGTTGTTCAGCCATCTCGGACAAACGCAAATCAAACACATACGAACCATGATAAACATAAAACAAAGACCTTAGAAACCTGTAGACTACTCGGCTTTATCCCCTTTTACATCTCTCCTACTGTAAGACAAACAGTCAAAAAGCTTATCAAAGTATCCATTTATGTGCTCTTCATCACTTCATGCCAATGTATAGTTCATGCAGTTGATCAGATAGCAATCACCCACGGGTACAGCCACTAGTAGGGCTGGAAAATGTACCTTTTACAGGCATGTACAAGAACTGCAAAGGGTACCATGATTCTTCAAAGAAGAATCGTTAAGAAACTTCATGTCCGAGTATCACAATAACTATACGTTTTAGAAAAATATGGGTGAAAACTTGCAAGATCGTCTCGAAGAACATTTCGGAACCTGAAACAAACCACCCTCTAGAATTCAGTAGATTTTTAATTTCTACAGCAAGCTACGGACATTTCATCGTCCGACACCGATCCCTAAAACCCAGAAACTCAGGGACTGAGTTCTGAATTCAAAGATCGAACTTGCCCTTGTTCTAAAATCATCAAAGCCCAAAACCCAGAAACACAAATTCCTCGCTTGGTGAAATTAAGAGTCAAGAATTTAACCTAGACGGAGAGAATTGACATCGAAAATGGACTGAGAATTCAAACAGATCTTGAAATCATCAGCCTCTCTGATATCACCACAAGCGCAAATGGCATCAGATCGAACACGAAGACCTTAGCCAAAAGAAAGAAACACCCATCGATCAAAGCAACGAACAAAGAGACAAGAGAAGGAATACCAATCTGGTTCCGACGGCGGAGATGGTAGATCGAGATCTCGGCGACGGGTGAAGATGCCGAAGGAAAAAAGGGTTCAATTTTTTTTTCTTATTCCAATCAAGAACCAATGGATACAGTGAAAAAAATAAAGCCCCATCAGAGAGGACAGTGGCGTTACACCTCAAGGAAACCGTCAGTCAACCATGTCCTCTTGAAAATAACATGGAAAAAAATATATATATTTTTCTCAAATAACCAGTAAATGCACGAAAATTGGAATCCGAATTTATTTGGGGGAAAGAAAAACAAATTGAGTTCCGCTGTAAAACTACGAAAGGCAGATCGACAACTCGCTCGAGTAAAGACCAGACACAAACCGGTTCGGTTCTGCAAAATCGAGGAGACAAAACAGAGAGGTCTTTAGTAAACCGGTCCAATTGATTTGAACTGGATCCGGTACAAATCGTTCCCAATGATGTGTCACGTGACTTGTGCGACTTGATTGTGGCGTCACGTGACCACAGTCTTTTTCCTCCGGTAATATTACTCAAATAATCCACTTGGGTCGCAGCAATTTCATTGTACACCACCGAAATTTTTTTTTTTTTTCAATTTTAACCCACTTTTCAGTTGGAAAAGTCCGAAATACCCTTTTCGTTTTATTTTTTGCAACCTTATTACGACTAATATATAACTGATATACCACTAAAATAAAGATGATTTTTTTGCCACATTTTTTAGAATCAATTGTAACTATATTTAAAATTAATTACGAAGTCGTAATAACGAAGTTGTTTTCAAACGGATAAAAATCGCGTATTCATTAAAAATAATTTCGTCTTTCCACATATAAAAAAATGTTATGTTTTTTTTTAGGTACACGTAAAATAGGTGCAATTTAGTTATATTTTTCATTGTACAAAAAATTCCAATTGAATCTAGTTACAGAAAAAGAAAAAGTGAATTATTATTACGTAGACCCAACTACGTCATTTGAGTAAAATTCCCTTCTCCTCCCCGGGATCTGATTTTTTTTTCTCGCTCCTTCTCGCTCTTCCTCCTCCATCTTCAGGCTTCGCGAGCTCTCTATGCAACTTCAATGGCGACGATAAGCAAAGCCCTAAGGTCCAAACCGTCTCCGGGATCTCAACGTCTGGTTCTCCTGCTGTGTATAGTTCTCTTCTCATTGATCCTCATTTTTTCTTCTGTGATTTCCACCGGCGGATTGGGTTTGCCGTATCAGAAAACCCTAATTGATTATTTCCTGACATCTCCTCGGATCAAGAGACAACATACGTTGTCTGAGAAGTACTTGTACTGGGGAAACAGAATTGATTGTCCTGGTAAGCATTGCGATACTTGTGCGGGTTTGGGTCACCAGGAATCCAGCCTCAGGTGTGCCCTTGAAGAAGCCATGTTTCTTAACAGGTGATTTGCTCCATTACATTTTCCTCGTCTCCCGAGAAAAGTTGCTAACTTTTGTTGTTTTTTTTTTCTGGCGATTCAGCTCTTTTTTTTTTGGGATTAGAAGCGATGAGCTTCTGAATTTGTTTTGTTGCGTGGTTACGCTAATTTCCTGGGTTCATGTGGAAGTTTCAATCTGCTGAATTAAATACTCATGTTCAATGAACGTTACTTCTGTCACTTTGTGGGCATTGAGGAAAATGCTGAAGCTTTATGGGTGATAATGGTGGAATTTGGTTTTCTCGTATGTAACAAACATTTTTTCTGTTGCAGGACATTTGTGATACCTTCTCGGATGTGCATTAACCCAATGCACAATAAGAAAGGCATTCTCCACCGATCTGGCAACGATACTACAGAAGAAGGGTGGGTGTCCCTTAAGCATCATGCTTCTGGTTGTGTTTAAATCTGGAAGTTATGGTTGTCTCGACTTCGTCGTGTTTCTGTAATATGCAGTACCTTGGGAGTGTTTGATGCTGTTTTCACGCAAAGTTCTCTGTTTCATTTTCTAGTTGGGGAGGAAGCTCTTGTGCAATGGACTCTTTGTATGATATAGACCTCATATCCGAGAAGATACCCGTGATATTGGATGACTCAAGGATGTGGCATATTGTGCTATCGACGAGTATGAAGTTAGGAGAACAAGGGATTGCGCATGTACGAGGAGTTAGCCGCCATGAGCTGAGAGACAATAGCCGATACTCAAAGCTTTTGCTCATTAATCGAACTGCAAATCCCCTCGCATGGTAATTATTTTTGTTTTCCTTTAGTTATGCCCATATTCCTCTGGTGAAATTGGCGAACATAAAGTTGGTTAAAAAATCATGATACTTTAGCTTTTCTAGATCTTGTCTGGGCATTGATGATCATTTCTGTATAGGTTCGTGGAATGTAAGGATCGAAACAATCGTAATGCTGTCATGCTCCCTTATTCGTTTCTCCCTAAAATGGCAGCAGCAAAATGGAGAGATGCAGCAGAAAAGGTGACTATGAGTTGCAGATAATGCCTTGCTTTGAGTTTGTAGTAATCACTCAGTTTATGTTTCACAGATCAAAGCACAACTTGGAGATTTTGATGCTATCCATGTTCGTCGAGGGGACAAACTGAAAACCAGAAAGGACAGGTTTGGGGTTGAAAGGACATTGTTCCCCCATCTAGACAGAGACACACGCCCAGCATTTATCCTTCGCAGAATTGAGAAGTGGGTCCCAGCTGGGCGGAATCTTTTTATTGCTTCGAATGAGCGAACACCGGGATTTTTTTCACCTCTTGCTGTCAGGTAATTACCGGGCTTATGAAAAGACTTTCATCACAAAGTGGAATGGACAATTGGTGTAGGGGAAAGGTAGTTCAACTTAAAGGTTCACAGTTCTATGCATATATATGTAGATGCACTCGTGAGATATTTGATTTGCCTCATGACTTCTCAATTATAGTTGACATTATTACATAGATTGCATTTGCAACATAAGGCTTTGCTCACTGGGAGTTTTGACATTGCTGGAGATTCTGTGATTTATTTGCTGCAGGTACAAACTGGCTTATTCATCAAATTTTAGCGAGATTCTGGATCCTATAATTGAGAACAACTACCAATTATTCATGGTGGAAAGGCTTATCATGATGGGTGCCAAGACATTCTTCAACACATTTAAAGAATATGAAACGGATCTGACCTTGACAGATGATCTGAAAAAGACCAAGAATTGGCAAATACCCGTATACACCATGGATGAAGAATCAAGCTAAAGTTTCTTGTTCCTACGTAAAGTCTACTCCGATTGTCATGGCTTCAAACCAGTAGTAGGACATGAGCCACTGGGCTGGACATGAGCCACTGGAGCTCAGCCCAGGTTAGGCATTATCAGAATCTTGCCTGAAGTCTGAATATATGCTGGGACTGGACAAATCCATGTGTGTAACCAGAATCGAGAACATCTTGCACTTGTATAGATGTAGATGGGTTTTTTTCCTGACATTACATTAGATCTTCAGAGAAAATCGTATGCAAATGATTTTCCCCGAGGAATTTTGTACACAGATCTTTGTAGCTTTCAGCAAAGTTATGCAATTTTTTTTTCACATTCATCAATGTATAAACACACCTCAGATTGGATATAGTTGTTTTCACGTTGTAACTACTGAAGCAGCATTAGAAATTTGCATATTAGCCTGTAACGTTCGATCAGAGTACAAGATTCTCAAAATCTTTGTTCCAACTCTAAGGGGAAATACTGCACATCTGGCTACACTACCTATGTTTGCGAGACAACATCAGCTTTTGGTTAATGCAAAGACCATCTATCTGTTCTTGTTGCTCTGGTGATCTCAAATGGGAAATGGACGGTCTCTTGTCTGAATTCTTGCCATTTAAAATCAGACCAACCTTCCGTTTCCGGTTAGTGGGACTGAGCTTCGAGAAGGATGTTGGTGGCTGCATTGACATCGTTTCTGGCGTGAACCAGAGCCTGTCTGGCTGCATTACTGTCGAAACCCATTGAGACCAGCGTTGCAATGGCTTCCTCTGATGGCGCCACACTTGCTGCCATCGGAGCTGCCTGGTAAGATCTCTGAAACTTCGAAAAACATCAAAGGGTCAATAATGAAGATGGACAGGTTTAGAATGACAGACATCATGAAACGGTTGCAGCAGCAGAGAGGAACAGAGAGAGCATGAGATGAGATTTACCTCTTGTTGGCGAGCCGGATGGGTTGACATACCACCGAGGACATTCCTGTTAGGTGATCGAGGAGAATTCCCGATGGATGGCAAAGAAATCCGGGAAATGAAAGAAGTCATAACCTCAGGTAACTGAAACATGCTAACTTTGTGTTATTTTCAGGCTTTTGAGATAACGAGTGACTTTTTTCGGTATCAAACGTGAGAAAAGGAACAACCTTTGCCCTGCGGATGCCAAGAACATTCAACCGATATAAAGAACCGGTTACTATGCCACAAACTCCTGGCAGTATGGATCTTTTCCAAGATGATAGCAGAAGCTGCACATCAAGAACCGAGGCAATACCATCTTTAGGACAGAAAAAAAAAACATACTTAACACACCAAGACAGCCAACTAAACATTTGAGTTTTTTTTTTTTTTTACCTGGAGACCAGCCAGATATATGAAGGACTTATCAGAGAAGCGCACACCAAACACGCGAAACCTAGTTGAAACCGGAATATCAAAGTAGAAGGGCACAAATGAAGCAAATATGAGGCCATATGGTCCAGAGGTAAGTAAGTTTGCTGTTGGATCTGCAAATAATATCGAAAAAAAAATTACTAAAATAACTATATGGTCTTGAATAGCAACAGAAGATCATCATCATAGATTTTATGGTTTTAGATAAACATAAAACAAATGTCGGCCTAACCACATTGATAAACCAGAGAAGATGTCCAAACCGAACAGAAAATCATCACTTGTCATCATGTAACCAAACCAATTTAAGCTAAGTGACTACTATAATACCTATATATTTGCTACATAAATGCCAGTGCCCATCTCTCAAGTCTCAAGTGAACAAACATCCGATATAAGATAGCCGATAAGATGGTTACCTTTAAGTAGAGATAGCAAGAGTGTCTCAAGTAGTAGTGAAACAGTCATTGAGAACAAGATAAAGACCTGCAGAATAAGCCCTTTCCAATTACCCTTTGGTGAGCAGAACCAGAAATAATACAAATCCTAGAAGATATGCTCACTACCGATTTGAATATATGATCATTGATGAACCTTTCTAAGCACAGATTAATTAGTCTAGATGAATGTGTGAACACAAAACCTTTCAGTTATGCAATCCCTAACGATCTGAAATAGTAATGACCGAGGAACATAGCAAGTATTACGAGAGAACTGAGAGAAAATGTTATCACTTACCGAGTATTTATTCGAACCTATCTGTCTCTCGAAAACTCTGAAGTAGTATAGTAAATATAAGCCGAACATCAGCTCTGGTGTGGATGAGAAAGCGAAAATCGACATGATTAACTTCCAGACGCGAAACTTCTCAAAAATATCCTGCCATGAGTTCGGGAAAAAGGTTTATAAAATGGTACAATAGACAACCTCAGAAGCGATCTCGGCACATAGATACCCTTTTTAGGCGACCTATCCATTGAAGAGAAACAAATATGATCAAGGAGATTCATTCGATCAAATGCACAAAAGAGCAAAATTTGGATGTGAGATATTGAAGAATCTAAAACTGGTGAAACAGCCCATTATTCAGAATCACATGACTCGCCGGAAAAACAGACAAAGGCAGAAGCTTGGTCAATTGTAATGGCAGAGTCCTAACCAAGACCCAAACTTTTAGCTTTGGCTGCTTCTTTTCGAGCAAACAAGACCCCGATTACTCCCAGAAAGACGACTACTTCTTAATCCCACGGGAGAACAACATTGCCCACACATCGAGAAACCACAGGAAAAACTCAGTTTCTTAAGCCAAAGTTGGTGACTTTAGCACAGTTAGGCAACATTAGTACGAAGAACCCTACAGTTCACCAGCATCGGACCCGCAATCGGATCCTAATTCGACCCGCAATTTCCTGAATCTAGAAGGATCACGAGTAGGAAATCACAAAATGCGAGCACCTGGTATGACAATCCGAGCTTGGAAGAACGGCCTCGAATTCCGAAGAACACGGTGAAAAGGGCGCTCCCGATGACGAAGGCTTTCGCGACCGGAGCATTACCTGCGGCGTCGATAACCCAACACACATCAATCAACGCGAACGGAAGAGCAAGAGAAATTCAAGAGGGTATAATGAGAAAACAAAAAAAAAAAAGCAATCAGATTTCAGAAACGGATTCGACCAAAGGAGGATGATGGTACGGATACGTACTGAAACCGGAGGGACCGCCGTTCATCTTTGTCGGATGAACAGGAGAAGAAGAAGACGAAGCAACAATCGGGGAATGAGTTCGTCAGCGATTGAATCTGGAAGGACGGGGAGACCGAGACGCACCTCCTCAAGTCCAAAAGTTGTTTCCTTTTTTTTCTTAATATTTTTTATCTACGAAGGGGGAGGATGCTTCCAAGAATTGAAGACTTGGAATAGAAGAGATTTTGCAGAAAGAGAACAATAATCTTGGAATAAATTAATTTAATGGAATTCTTAAAGATGGTTGTTGGCCCAAATCCAGATCCTTTGACATACAACATACTGCAGCTACTCCTACCAAATATTGTAATACAAAACACGGTATCAGCATAATCAAAATATGATTAGAATACATCGGGTTTGACTATCAAGAATACCCAAAAATTATCTAACGGGCAATATAGTTCGGATAGTCAAAAATTCCCATTCCAATTCTAATTTTAAAATATATCAACCCTCCAATTCAAATTCAGTTATTATTCTAAAAATTCCAAAAAATACCGAATATTTAACCCGTTTTTAAAGACTGTGGTCACCAGTTTGATTGTTCACAGAAATACCAATGTGTGCAACTATGCGTTATCTTGTGGGACATTATAAAAAATATTATTATTTTGCTATTTTGACTTCAACATATACACTTCTCCGATTGTAACCATGTGATCCGAAATATAGTGTGGTTCATAACATTAAAATTTTATGATGTTTTAATCAAAATATGAACATAATAAATTAGTGTGAATCATTCATACATTTAACGTTATAATCAATAAAATCAAAATATGATCACACTATATTTTAGATTACATGGATCACGACTTGAGAAAATTACATGGTATTTTTAATACGATAAGTTAAGTTGTCAATGATATGTATTTGTTGTGTAAAGAAACAAAAAATAAATAAAAATCACTCCCAAAACCTGTTTTCACATCACAGAAATCAAGACAAACCCCAAACTTGTACATTAGAAAACCCACCTAATTGAAAATCTCAACCTAAAACTCTCCCACAAAATTCTGATCCTTCCAAAACTTTGAGGAATTCTGCATGTTGGCCTTCGCACTTTTCACACTGTTTGCCATTTCTCAGACACTGACTGCTGTGCTAGGGTTCTTGCTCCTCCCCTACTCCAAAAAATCCTGCTTTTTTTCTGTTCGGAAACGCTAAATTTATTCCAACACTTGGGTCGGCCATAAACGATTCCACGTTGAAATCTCTTCCTTTGCGTACAATTTCCTTACGCCGCCATAGAAGCCGTCGGATTCGTTGCCCGTTTCCCGGTGGTCCGTCCTCCTTATCACCGTCGTTCTCCACGGCGACTCCGGTCTGAACTGTCTGAATTCCAACACCACATTCTCTGTAATGAAAAACCCAGAATCTCTTTTGATCCGCAAACGCCCAAATTCAATCAAAGAGGTGCGACCCAAAGTGACAGTGATTTAATATTGTTACCGTCAGATTCACAGAGACAGTTCTTCTCGTGTCCGCTGCAGATTTGGAGGTGACCCACGATTCCGTACCACCATCCTACGCCGCAGAAAAACGAAAAGTCACAAACTTTGATCGGGTTTCGTAGAGAAACTTATCTGACAAAGTTGCAAAAGGAAAAGATCAAAGGTCAATGGTAAAGACCATAAGGGAACTCCTTGCTTCTTCTCCACTGGATCTCGACATGGTCATCGGGTCTGAGTTCGTGTAAGCAATCCGACTCGTGCAGAGCACGTGACGGCGTGTCGACAGGCGGCGATCTAAGCCTCTCCCACGTGACGTTTTCCTCCGCTGTACGCCGACCGCACGGGGAGTATCTGAGGAAGATGAAGGAAAATGACACAAATTTAAGAGGGAAAGGTTGCAGATATGTCGGAAAATTGATGAATTTTTTTCAGAGTTGATGGCTTTGTTTGGTCACCTAGCTCGGAAAGTATCAAGCTTTGAGTTGTATCTGATTTCTGCATCGTAACATGACATCATGAATCCAACATGACCATTCTGCAACAAAACAAAGACATGCTCTTGTTCTTCAGAACCCACTTTGAACACGGAAAAGACAACGCAAACAAGAAGCAGAATCATACATTTCAGAGTAATTTCTCTGGGGATTTCTTCCGTTTAATCAGATGGGTTTTTTTCCTTAATCGACATAAACGCAGAAAGTCGTGAACTTAATGTTTTTGACTTGAACGCAGATATGATTTATACAGAGGCAACATTACCTCGCGGTTGAAAACTTGGGCTGGGAATGAGAACTTGCCATTTTCAAGAGAAGAGTACCAAGACATCACCGAGAGACATGAGCTTGTCTCCTCAGCTCCGCCATTCCCGTTGTTTCCGAGTTCTGTCTTTGCACTCAACAACGAGAAGGGCATCGATTTCGCAAGAACACTGAGAAGATTCCAATTTGTGTTACTTCGGTTTGATCTTCTGAGACAACTCATCTTTGCTGCGACATGAGACCGCCACTCTCTAGTCGCTGCATCTCCCATCAATCTTCCCCATTTGTTCTTCATGTGTTTCTCCCATAGATGATCGCTCATACACCTCTCCCTTAACTCAGAGCAAACACAAGCCATAACGCATAGTTCAGCTGGAGAAAGCTTCTCGAGTACCAATTCTAATGCCAGTTCAGGCAAATCAAGAAGTGAAACTCGGTTTTCCCTCTCAGTTTCCCAGTTCTTCTTGTTCTCCATCTTTCTTTCCCTTCTAAATGTCAAAACTCTGCAAAACCCATCGCGGATAATGCTTCTTGGGAGCCAAGAAGCAGCAGAGAATGCATTCGAAAGCCAAATCCAAAGGAAAGCAAAGTACTTGTTTTCCATTGATGAAAGACTCTACTCAAAGCGATCACAAGAAATAGGAGAAAGGAGCCATAACAAAAAAGGGGGGGGGGAGTAGACACCACACAGAGAAAGCTTTATGGCTCAAGAAAATAAGCTTTGACAGCTCACACACGACAACAAGAGATCATATGTTTCAAGTAAATGGGCAATGAACAGACAAGGAAACGGAAAACAGGGGAAGAGAGAAAACGACACCATGAAATAGTTATAGCAAATGTTAAACCTGCATATACTATATCGAAATTTCCCGGTGAATGATGGGGGCACACTAATAAATGAAAGGTGTGGAAGCACAGGGCAATGTAAAAAAAAACAAAACCTTTGGTGGTTAGTCATACAATGGAAATAAATGAGAAAGTGACCTAACTTTCCTACTGAAAGTGACAACTGGCGGTTCATTAATGTCTTCGGCTTGCATTAATCAGAACACCTCAAGATTATTCCGAATTAGTAATTTTTTTTAATTTGTACAGATATATCATTAGCTAATCTAAATGTTAAAACTCCACAAGTTAAAGACAAAGGATCAGTTTGGTTGGAGAGTTCCATCAAACTTGGATCTTCAGTTTACCACCGCAAAATGCCCCTCAAAACAAAGTCCCCCAACTACTTTTTTGTCGCCTAATTTCTGCCAACCTCCCAACCACCACCTTCTTATCATTCAAATCTAAAGAAGACTACAACAAGAATGGAAGGGAATGCCAGATTTACCATTAACTTGTTGAACTTCTCTTGTCGTTCACCATCACCGATTAGAGCAGTACCCCAACGATGAGCAGTCTGACAGGGAAAAGAACAAAACTAGAATTGGCAAAGGTGAAAACACCCAGACGCTCCACCGATATGGACGTACTATACAGTTTTACTTCATGGGTAATCAGAAACATGTAACTATTTAGGTGATAAGGCTAATTCTCTGAGTTAACTCAGCAATAAGTGTTGGTCTTTAGATTAACCCGTCACCCTAAAAACGTCTATTATCCAATCCAAGTGTTCAGATCCTCAGAAATACAACAATCCCAACCTATCTATACATCGAATTCCAAAGAACTAACCATCAGATGAAGATGACCCATCGTTAATTTCAGAACGTCGACCACACTTCCTGACTTCCTGTTAACTGCATCATTCGAGGGTTTACGAAAAGCAGTTCTCGTATAGCCGCTATCATGAGGAAGATAATCCAGTTCGGCGTCCATGAAGCTTGGCACCTGAAAACACAGCCAATAATTATTAACTCAAAAAAAGGTCCATATAAACAAACGAATCCCAGCAAGTATGGTCGGTCAAATAACGCTTACAGGAAATCCCAAATCCATGGCCTCGCGGAACAAAGCAAAAGGCCTCAAATTCGAAATCGCAAATGGACCCGGGAATCAGATGCTCGCTTACCCTCGAGTAAACTGTAAACGACCCCACTCGAGGGGATTCAGCCAGCGAAAAACAACGGATTCGGAAATCGATTTGAGAACCAGAAACCAAAGTTCCCGAGAAGATATCTTCCAGTGTATCGTCCGCAATCCTCGCGACGCCAAAGCTCGATGAACGCAAAAAGCCCAATTAACGGCCTGCTTTGGGCCCAATGGGCCTGTAGGAAAGAATACAGCCGTGAAATTGAATAGTAGACTATAATGTACAGTGCATATGTACTCACAATAGTCGATCCGCGAGATGTATGTATGTATGTATGTATGCATGCATGTATGTATGTATGTATAGATGTATGTTATAATTGGTCCAATTGGAACCATGGGACCGGCCATGGCCACATGCATGGAAGGAAGAGACAAGAGAGCCTATGCCCATGCGCCATGACAAAAATAAGATGCAACCATCACTCCTTGTCGATCCAACACCCGCCATTTATTTAGATTCTAAGGTCTAATTTTGATTACGTCGATTTTCGTGTTTTTTTTAATTAATAAAGTTTCAAATATAAACAGAGGTATGTGTATATAAGAAAAAATGTTACAAATGGAACACCCGGTTCCCACATTTTTAAAACAGAAAACATTATTTATAAATCGATAATATTTTTTTTAATAAATCATAAAAAATTATATTCCGATACTTAATAATTGTTTTTTTAAGTGTTTTGTGCTTTCTCGTTGTTAATGTTTATCCAATATTTGACACAAAATGATGGTTTGTACATATAACATTTCATATAACAAAAGAGACGATGTCGGCTGCGAAATAGGCGTACGATACCAAGTAGGGTGATATTATATCAATTCCCCAAACGGTCGAATAATTCCATAAATTTCATGGAAAAGCACCCTAAAAAAAAGGCAAAATCTTTACATTCAGCAACAGCTAGGGGTGGACGCTTCGGAACCGTACCGAATCGAAAAAAAAAAAACGATATTTTTTTCGATCTGAAACCGTTTTCAATTTTCGAACGGTATTATTTTTAGAGAACCGAATTTTTCCGGAACCGAACCGAACTTTGAAAAATTCCGGAAAACCGAATATTTTTTAAAGAAATCTATCTTTTTTAATAAAACCCGGAACCGAACCGAACCGATACCGAAACCGAACATAATATAAAGACCGATTGGTACTTATTTTTGTAAAACCGAAAAAACTGAACCGATCCATTCTCGTTCCGAACCCGAACTGTTTTCCGAAATGTCCACCCCTAGCAACAGCCGTGTCGAGTTGCGTTCGCTGATCCAAACGTCGGCAAACTTTTAGACATCTTTACTTTACGAATCATTAATGCTTATTAACGAAAATCTAATTACGTATTTACCAAACAAAAAAAAAATCTAATTACATATGCAGACAACTAGAAAGACAAAAAATAAAACGTAATTATGCTCATAAGATTATATATATTGGGAATAGAGAACTCTCCTTGCAAATAAAAAGAATGAGTTTTCACCATCGTGATTAAGTACTACTATATATATTTGTGTGTGTGTGAAATTGAATTATCCCGAGAGATATTCCAAGTTTCGAAAGAAAGCTGTACCAATCAGTATCCGACGTTTAGTACCAAAACTCGAAAAGACGATAACAGATTCACTTGATAAAACTATAGTAATGCACAAAACACTGGTTATCGTAATTAATTGGACCGAAAATTGCATATTATTCTGTTAGCTGTAGATCATGATCGATTACATTGCATAAAGGTTCACGAGACAAAAAAAGAAACAGACATACAAACGCAGATTCTGAAAATGTACACGATCTTGTTATATGTTCTTCATATATATGATATAAAACCTATATATATATATAAAGGTTTTATTGATGAAACCCTAATTCAAAGGATTACACAGAGTCGATGCTTCCGAACGCATTCACATTATAAAACCCCGTTTGTAAACATCCAGAGAAACTCTCCGGCATGTGAGGAACGAACATGTCACCATCCAACGCCTCGAAGTAGTCCGGGACGAGATCCGCCCCATCGTACGGCTCCTGGTCGTCCTCAGCCTCCGCGGCTGGAGTTTCCGTTTCGGCGGAGCCGGGGACCGGAGAATAGTCCTCCGCCGGGAGAATAAGCGGCTCCGTCGGGAGATCGACGGCGTCTTGGCCGGTGAGTTCCTGCACAAGCTCTCTGAACTTGGAGGCACAAGTCTCTACCTTCATTGGGTTTGATATGTACCTGACTTTGATGGGTTTCGTCTTCTTCTTCGCCGTCTTCGCCGGTTTCTTCGTCGTAGATGATTTCCTCTGTTGTAACGTCGAGAACACCGTCGTTTCCATTTTTTCCGGCGAGAAGCAAATATGGGTTCTTTTTTTTTTTTGAAATCCTTTGCTGTGGGAAGGAGACTGGGAATTAAATGGAGAAAGAAAAGGAAGAAGAAGAAAGTTGGAGGAAGATGCTACAATGAAAGAGAAACAAACAGATTTATGACAATACCTGATTAAGTCTTTTAAGTCTTCTGTGTGTGTTTTTGTCGTCGGCGCTACCGACGGCGCGTTGGTCCCACGCGCTTTGCTAAACTTTTTTTTCCCCGTAGAAGAAACGGATATGTATATTATGCATATATCTCTGTAATGTGTGTGTATTTGTGATTTGGGTCCTTATATATATGAAAATGAAATCACTCTTCACCGGTTCTCCGTGAGTTTCTTTTTATTTTTTATTTTATTTTCGATTAGGGTTATGAAAAATTTGATGGGTAAGCGCATAAAATCTTATTTGGTAAGTAAAGGACTATACTGATGAGAGACCGACATGAGGTGGGGTTTCATATTTATGTTTGCCTTTTAATCTTATCTCATATATATATTTCCGTTGTTTTTATCCAACAAATACGATATAATGGACGATATGTATATATAGTTCTATGATCATGGTATTACATAATAACTAAGAATAAGATATCATTATGTATATACATACACGTAAAACCAAGATCTTCCAAAGGAAGTGGAAATGCCAAAGCTCGTATATTATATATTTCGAATCTTTTTATAAACCAGAAAATATCAACACCGTGACATCATCCAAACCCGCATAATGATGACGTCATAAACGTCTGAGCGAATAGCGCCACAATAAAAGGAAGGGAAAATGGCAAAAACCCACACAGATTATAACAAATGTGTAAAATTAGTACATCAATTTTTTATTTGACAAAATCCCCCACCCGATTTCAAAATTTCCCATTTTCTACCACCGATTATTCCTTAAATTTCCAATCAACACAGGGAAGGGATTTGATCGTGCCACATCAGCATCCCATTGTTTATGTGGCATGACACATCCGTAAAAGTGCCACGTCAGGTGACACGTAATCAGTCCTGTCAGCAATTTCGATTAGTTAAATCGGTTCACTTAACCGATCCGGTTTACTGTAAACCGAATTTTTTTTTAAATTGAAATTTGGGACTTAGGTCGAAACCCTAAATCAGAATGCGCATTTCATTTGTCTCCTCTTCACTCCTCTGTCTCCTCTCCTCTCCTCTCGTCGCCTGAGAAGATCGCTGTCGGAGACGAGCTCCGGTGAGACGGCATGGCTCATGCGTTGCTCCGGCGTGGGTGATAGTCGTCTCGGTGGTTCATTCCTGGTTCGTTGGTTCATTCTTGCGTCTCCGTAGTTCACTCCTATCTCGGTCTTGGTGGTTCATCGTGTTTTGTCTGACCCTACTGGTCTCGGTGGTTCGCGTGCATCGTTGTTCGCCTGCGTCGTGGTTCGCCTGATATTGCTTTGGCAGGTACACAATTTTCGGTCTGTGTAATTGTCTCGTTTGGTACGCGAATGCCAGATTCGATCCGACATGATTGTTCTATTTTGATGGGTTAATGTTCGGATCTTTGTGTAGAATGAGTTTTAAATCGGAAGGCAGTTCGAAATATAGTGGGATTTCTCATAACAAAATAGGTGAAGCTATATCGGCTAAAGGATTCCCACAGAAATGCGAATGTGGAAGTCGTATCGTGCGATATACTTCAAAAACAGACAACAATCCCGGAAGAGTATTTTTTCGATGTGCTAATCAAGAGGTATTGTGTATATAACATTAGTTATGTATGTAACAGTATTGGTTGCATTTCGGATTTGGATGTCTAGTTGAATCTGAAAGGATGTTGTTGGTTTTTGTAGGGCACGAGAAAGCATGTTTTCAAATGGTTTGATGAGGCTACAATTGAAGAAATCGACGAATTGAGAGATGCCTTTGAATCATTACAAGGACAAATGGAGAATTATGTAGGCAATGACAAAAAAATCGAAGCATTGACACATGAGTTGGAAATTTACAAAGCAAAAGTGGAAAAAATCGATGTCTTGGCAAATGAGTTGGAAATCTACAAAGCTAAGGTGCAACATATCGAAGCCGAGAAATACAAGTTTGTGTTTGTCTTAATAGGAATTGTTATGTTTTTATACTACTTTCGTATTTCTGTATTTTAAATTTGGAAGTTGTGATGATGGTTAAGGTTTTGGTACTGCTATTGTCGGTTGTATTTGTATGAATCAATGTAATCGAGTTGTACTAGTAGCCTCGGTTGTTTTTCTATGTACGAAATACTGGTTGGTATTCATCTTGTTTGTCTTTGTTGTCTATGATTGTACCTGTACTAAATTACCCAATAAAAAGAGACAACATTGCATGTCTCTAACACTAACTGATTCATACTAAATAAAAAGAGGCAGCATTACATGTCTCCAAATGTCTCAAATTGATCCAACAAACATACATAATCCAACAAACATACATGATCCAACATTATATGTCTCCAAATGTCTCAACATGAACCAACATAACATGTCTGAAAACGATCCAACATTACATGTCTCCAACATAACGTCTAAAAAAGTCTGAAAATGATCCAATAATCCTAAATTTGTCCAATCCGATCAGCATGTCCCCGAAGGTCCATCGCGTTGAACATCTTTGTCATTTTTCGATCTGCAAACCAGATAAAACAACGATTAAAAACAGAATACTACTATCGAATGACATCCACAATGGTAGTTTAACATCATACTTACCCCATATTACTACGACTTGGCCGTGGGATATTAAACTGATTCTGAGTCATTCCCAGAAGGCGACGTCGTCTGGTAGTCAGGTTAAGACCAGATTGCATTGTTTGACTGGATTGAGTGGGTATACAAGTATCTATCATTGGAAATTGCTTATTATATAACCACCGTCCCAAAATTATGAAAATGCAAAGAACAAAAAATGAAATACCTTGAGCTGAGTTTGCATGAGTCTGAGCATTGGACATTGTGTTGTTATCCGAAATTGATGCTTGTTTTCTTTTGGAAGCTGCATTACTACTATTTGATGCTGCAGTGCTTGATTGTCCTTGCTGTAAAGAAGAAAGCAATGATTGATGACAATCGCAACCCAAAAACATGTAAATAAATTAATGTACCACAGATGTCATTCATGTCCTTACCATGTTAATGGGCTCATTCTTGCAAGTCTTTGCGTTGTGCCCCGTTTGTTTGCATCGGCTACAACGAAACAGCCTTCCATGTCGAGTCATGTGTCCGGTTTTTGTAGGTGATTCATGAGGATCCTTTCTTCGGCTATGTTTACTTGGCCGACCAGGCATCTTTCTATCATCAGGGACTAAAATTGGTGGTTTGTCGGATCTTTGCCATAACGGTTCACCATTGACAGGGTTAATGTTGTTCTGGTATGTTGCCTGCCATGTTGATTTCAGGAAGTAATGAGAAACGTACCTGCAAATAACTTTAAAAGTTAGTAAGTAGTATATTAAATTTCAAGAAGTTATGAGAAACTGTACTTTGTTATTTTACCTTGAAAGTTTGTCTCGAGTCACTTTGATTACAATAATGGCATGTTGACAAGGTATTCCCATAAGTTGCCATCTCCGGCAAGCACATGTATTTGCAGACAAATCAACCGTGTAGCTAACACCAAATTCAGAAACCTCATATTTTCCCTGTCCACTTCTTATGATGTGACAATGTCGTGCTCGGGCCAGCATGGTGTCCAGCTTCCTCATAAACCTTGGTGTGAACTCAGTTTTACACCTTTCAGCCTGACATGCTCGTCGTGCGTTACGTTGCATTGCTTTTCGGCGGATTTCCTCAAGCATATCAATTATTGGCCGTAGTCGGGCATTTCTGATCGAACCATTAAAACTCTCCGACAAGTTGTTTTGGACTGCATTGCAACGCGACTCAGGATTGAAAAATGCCCGACACCACCTCCTAGGATTAGCCCGCATAAATGCTTCATACGCCAATGGATTGTACCTTCTAATGTCAAGGGCGTATCCTTCGAACTCACGTACGAGGTAGCATTTTGCAGCCTTCCAGAATAGCAGTTTCAACTCAAGATCCTTGAATTTCTTTTTGAAATTAGCAAATATATGTCGTGTACACATCCTGTGCTCGGCGTGAGGAAGCTCATTTTCGACTGCATTCACTAACCCCTACAAAAAACAAAAGCAAATAAAACAGATTACGAGATATTTCGAAGAGTAAATAATATGTACTTTTAGAAAAGAATCATATATCAATTACCTTTTGCTTGTCGGACATTATAGTTAGCCCCCTTCCATCATCTAATCCCAAATCTAATCGTAATTTCTTGACAAACCAGGTCCATGTATCTGTATCTTCGATACGTACAACTGCCCAAGCAATAGGGAACATGCCATCATTGCCATCCCTTCCAACAGCAGCTAGTAGTTCACCCTTCATCTCCCATTTCAAAAAACAGCCATCCAAACCAATAATGGGACGACAGTGTGCTTTCCACGACTCTCGCAGCACTCCGAAACTCACATAGAAACGGTCGAATACTCCCTGACGCTTCAACACTTTAGCTAATCCGATTTCCGTTGTGGTATTTGGATTTGACCTATTCAGCTCTAACTCATAGTCCCACAACTTCTTAAACTGGATTTGAGGATCTTCCATCACCATTTTCAATGCAATACGTCTTGCCTTAAAACATTTGGTAAGAGTGACCGTCAAACCATACGATCTTTGAATGTCAATCTGCATTTTTTCAGCTGTGAAGGCTAACTCTGTTCTAATCCTGTCTGCATACAACCTCGCAATTTGACGCATTGTCAACATACTCGCATAAGTGTCTTTCTCATGGTTATGATCATCCTTATAAATCTTGATCATCCACTTGCTTATGGGGGTCTCAACCGAGCAGTAAACCCTCCACGGGCACCCTACATTGCAACATATAGCTTCCAATTTCGTCTTGTCCCACCTTGACAACTTCACATTAAATTTCTTATCCAACACATAGTCAAACAAAGCTTTCTTAAACTCGTCCCCTGAGTTGAAAGTTCTCCCAAGATATAAAAAATCATTTGGGGGAAAAGTTGAAGCTTGTCTTCTTGGTGGATTATCAAAGTTCTCCCATTCTTCATCTGTGTTTTCCGGGGTTGGTGGGACATTCCCATCACTATCTATATACTCGTCAGACGAGCTATCTCTGCAAACCAGATACCACTCATCTCTATCATCATCACCAACCGGACCACAGGGGACTTCTTCAACAAAATCATCACCATCAAAATCGAAATCATCAAACTCTCCAATATCATTATCACTATACCAACATTCATCTGATAATGAATCATTAATCTCACAATCCTCAACAAAATCTTCATCATCACTATCATCATCACTGTCATCGTGATCACCCTCAGCAGCTGAATTTTCCCAAGTAAGTCGGGGACGAGGTTCTACATCTGGCTCTGTCTCTTGGTGGTCGATAAAAACATCCAAACTACCATCTTTTTTTGCCATTTCACACATTTCACATATTTCACTGTCCACAATCTCTTTCCTAACCCTTCTTTTGTTTTCTAGAGGCTCTCTTGCCAACTTATACCACATTTCTCTTATTGGAGAACCTATCTTACGAGATTTGACAAATTCTTCAAAAGTGAACCAACACAGAGTATCCGAATCAAACCAAACACCTCTCTCAACTAACCCACCTAGGTAATAACTTTTGCTATTCGCTTCTTCCATAAAACCACCCATGTAAAAGTTAATCTGAATCCAGCTGCATACAATTTCAAAACTAAATCTTAACTTTCTTCTTCTACAACAATCGAAGTATTAACTCTTGCGAACAAACTAAGTGTTATAACCCAGAAAACTTACCTCATCTTGCAGAAGTTCGGAGCACCGACCCTAGAGCTAGAGAAACACGAATACTGTAACCCACCGAGACAAGTATCGACCTAGGAGAAGGAGCGAACCACCGAAGAACGACGAAACCACCGAAGAACGACGAACACCCTGAACCACCGAGAGCAGTAGACCAAGTGGAGCACCACAAACCACAGAAGCAGCGAAACTGGAGCAGGAGCAATGCCGAAAGTAGAGCAGGAGCGAAACTGGAGCACAACCGAATCTGGAGCACAACCGAATCTGGAGCACAGCCGAAAATGGAGCCTGGAACACGAGCGAGGAGCAACGCATGAGCCATGCCGTCTCACCGGAGCTCGTCTCCGACAGCGATCTTCTCAGGTGACGAGAGGAGAGGAGAGGAGACAGAGGAGTGGAGAGGAGACAAAGGAAATGCGCATTCTGATTTAGGGTTTCGAACGAAACCCTAAGTCCCAAATTTCGATTTAAAAAAAATTTCGGTTTACAGTAAACGGAATCGGTTAAGGGAACCGATTTAACTAATCGAAATTGCTGACAGGACTGATTACGTGTCACCTGACGTGGCACTTTTACGGATGTGTCATGCCACATAAACAATGGGATGCTGATGTGGCACGATCAAATCCCTTCCCTGTGTTGATTGGAAATTTAAGGAATAATCGGTGGTAGAAAATGGGAAATTTTGAAATCGGGTGGGGGATTTTATCAAATAAAAAATTGATGTACTAATTTTACACATTTGTTATAATCTGTGTGGGTTTTTGCCATTTTCCCTAAAAGGAATAAATGAAAAAAAAAGTCTGGTTTTCTTTTTCCCTGTAACATCGGGTGGTGCTGGTGCAAACGTCTATAAAGAGAGAAATGCCAAAACCATAACCTAATTTAGTTAATCTGAATACATAAAACATTAGATTATTAAAATTTATTAAATAACAACATATTATTATATGCGTATCCTATATAAAAGTAATCATAGATTTTCAGGCTACGAAAATATATATAGGGTTTGGAAAGTTCGGACTTATGGCTACACGTCTACGTTTTTATTGCTAAATCTATAATCCAAGTGTCGGTTTTATCCAAATCCAATATGCTGTTTCTATACGATCTGTTCGTTGATTTAATCACTATTAATGTAATACATAGCTGGAGTTCAAAGTCAAACTCGTCACTTCACTTCACACACTAACTTATCAACAGTTGATTTAATTTGTTGTAAGATATTTGCACCCAAATCAAATACGACTTTATGCTCCTGAATCCTCATACAATATTATCATACTATATGGTTATAGTATGGAGATAACGAGGAAATAGAGAGAGATGGGGCAATGAAGGGGAGGGGGGGTCCATGTGGGCAAGTGGTATAAGAGCAAGTGGCAAAGTGTGGCCTCACCTCAATATATCATCAAGCCTGTTAAATCTGTCGAATTGAAGTCCCTAAGCGATGGGTCTAATCTCATAGGCAGTGGGCCTTTCTTCTCTATTCCCATGACACTTAACGTGTAGTTTACGGTGGATAAAAACCGTAATTACTTAAGAAAAAACACTATTTCTTTTACATGTGATGTTATTCCATATATTTGTAGGTGTTTTTACGTTTATATTGTTTTTATTGGACAAGCATAGCATATCATAATAACCACGAGCATTTAATTAAAAATATACCCACGTACATAAATCATCTATGAAATTGTTATTTTATATAATTACTCATTTTGTTCAACCCATAATCTGCTTTTATACTCGCTCTCTCTCTATATATATATATATATGTGTGTGTGTATAATCAATCTTTGATCCTATCGTTGCCGTTAAAATTATCATATATATGTTGGTATTATGTATATCCTATATAAGTTCCGAATATTCTTAAAATCAAAGCAGTTATATCTTGATTAGATTTGATTGGCATGCATAGATTAACTCCGTTTCATTCATCATGAAGGTGTCGCTTTAAACGTAGCTCAAGAAACCACTAAACACGTCATCCAATGTCGAGAAATTTCCATAGATAAATTTCCTCAGAAAGTCAAGCCACGTGTGTGCAGTTTGTCTTAATTCTTTTAAACTTTATATTATCGTTCACCTCTCCATTCAAAAAGCTAAGATATCCTTTCATTTCTTTTTATATTTTACACAAAAAGAGATAAATTGGTCGTTTCCACTTTGCAACATGTTTTCTATTTAATTTTTATTTTATTTAATTTTGATCGTTTTTTAAAGTTTTTTTATTCTGAAAATTATACTTTTCCATTTCACAATGATTGACGTTTTAAACTATTTTTTATATTCTCTCCACTTTAAAATATTTGTAGATTTAGGTTATTTTCCATGTTTAAAAATATTTATCATGATTCTATATTTTCAAAACATTTTTTATCGTTAATTTCTAATTTTTTCCCTATCAAATTCTAATAAATTATTAATAATAACATTGTTTTTTTTCTTTTTTTTAAAAAAATATGAAATAACCTAAAACTATAATTATTTTAAAACTGATGGAATATTACTTAATAGTTATCATTTTAGTTTTTCTAGGCATTTTTCTTACTCGTTTTATAAAATTTAACGTTTTAGCTTTTTTTACGCTTTAAAAAAAACAAAAAATCTTATATGCCTTTTACTAACACAATTAATGTAAAGTATATAATAAAGTTTGACATATTTATACTCGATTTGTTCAGTCTAATTTCAATTTTCATTTTTAAAAATTAATGTTAAGTATATAATTAAGTTTATATTGAATTTAACTTAAATAGGAATATAATTTATTAAATTTGATTGACATCTTAAAATTGAAATAATTGTCTTAATTATGATCGTTGTGACGTGAAAACCAAAAAAAAATACAACGATCGAAACGTAAATTTGATAAATTAAAAAGGAGGGGGATATGAAATAATCTTTTGTTGCATTATTAGATTTTTTTTTTAAAAAAAGATGAAAAACACATTAGTGATGACGTCATCCATAGAGCACGTGTGTTGACTTACAAGAGCATATCTAAAAGACTTTTCCCGAAAAAATCTAACGTCCGAATTGGTGGGAGTTATTGCCTGCGGATACGCTCACTTCTGTTACCGTACACCCGTCCAGATATTTATTTATTTTTGTCGGGATAATTGCTTCTTGTTGATAGAACCACGTACCAAAATTCACAACAGTCCCTATGCCTAATCCCGAGTATTAGATTAATTGAAAAAATAATTACAATTGTAACCGTGGATTACATCATATTAAAATCGATTTATTTTATTTATTTGTTTTTTTGGTGATGTTAATTCAAATCTAATTTCTCAATAAATACGTGTGTGATGTCCTTTTCAAAGGTGTAAATATGATTTTATACGGGACAGATATTTTGGATTTTTCATTCGATTGATTTTTAGTTTAATTTTCTTTTAAAACCAATAATCGGGGAATAAAATAATAGCCAACCGGCCCAAAAACAGAACTTGTGGCGACAGAATCATTCATGTAAGAAAACGAAAGAATCCCATCACAAATATCATATAGGTATATTTTCGATAAACTATAATACCATTGCGTTCATGCTTTTTATGGACCCTACTTAGACTATAAAATTTTTATTTTGCTCTTAATCTCGATTCATATTTAAACTCGAGCGCTTATAAACATACTATGTAACAAAAAAGCAGCAAAAGCAGGGCACAATCCTAGAAGCCAAAAAATAAAACGAGAACAAGATAAAACAAACCATGTAAACATAGAAATTTGGTTTATCAAAGCATTTAAATCTATATAATAATCATGCATCGTATATAAGCGAGGAAAGGCCCTTCGTGTGATTAATAGTTGTTGATGATTTTTGCCACCGAAGAGTACGTCCCCAAGATGGCACTCACGACGCCAATCGCCACAATTGCTGAACTCAGCACAATCTGTGACACCCACCAAAAAAAAAAACGAATTTAAGGAATCTTTTGTCTCTAAATTCCAAGATTCTCTGTTTTCGAGCATGTTCGTGTGGTAATAACGTTCCAAATCCACCATAGAGGGAGAGAGGGAGAGAGAGAGAGAGAGACCAAAGAGAGACATGAATATACTGAACCAAATTCCAGATGATAAGGGTAAGAAATGGAATGGGTACCTGTGTTCTTGTGGCTCTGTTCCCAACTATCTTCATGAAACACAGAGCTGGCATTACTATCGCCTGAACCAAGTTTAAGAACCTTAAGTAGAGGACTCCAGAAGCAGGACAACATGTTTAGAAATTGAAGCAATGAGGGAGGGAGGGAGAGAGAGAGAGAGAGAGAGAGAGAGAGATGAGTACCACTAGTATACTGAGAAGAGATCCTATCAGTGCCATCACAAGTCCTGTCAACAAAAATTGAAGAAAAAAACGCACGCAAAATCAATCTGATTGTCTTGTTTTAAGACAGGGAAGTGAAACCAGAGTCATGGAAGTGGTATCAAGACAGAGGTTGGTTGGTCTGGTTATCTCTTTGACTTTGTAGCTTCAAAGGGTTCATTTCATCTAGATAACTAACCGCTACAGCTAAAGGATATGCGTGTCCTTACCGAAAAAGGGTAGAAGAAAAGCCACACAAACAGAAGATGCGACAAGTGCTGTTCTTAGCAGGACGAAGCACCAGATACTGTCCGAGATCCTAGCTGGTAGAAGTTCTTCTATACTCCTGGCCAATGGATTCATCAACAACGCGTATTTTGTGAACGGGTTGATGACCTGTAAAGGGGATGAGAAACATAGTAAAACAGTTTGTCATTATAACATGAGAACTCCATAGATACAGAAACAAATCTAGTTTTGTTTCTCTTACAGTTGTCCATTGTGCTACTTGTGAAGCAAACGCGTCCTTTGGCATGTTCAGTGTTATCTGAGACAATGTAGCTTCACCAAACATGAGATACCCCATCACTGCAACTCCTCCGTATATCACAACACATAAAAGAAAACTGCAAAGACGGTAGGAATTCAAGAAATCAATATAGGGACAGATTTAGTATCCAGCTGTGATGGAAGATTGACGAGATTTCGGTGTTTTACCATGTTATCAATGCTTTTGTGAACTGGGTTTTATCAGCCATGGATTGGTATATATTCGGAAACACGGAATGGCCAGAATAGCAGAACCCATAGACACCGATGGCAAATGGAAGGCCGCTCCACTTTACAAGCTCGCCGGTATGATGAAATCCAATTCCACCGGTCGTACCGAGGAAAAACGTGCTTAAAGCAATCAAAAGTGTGGCGAAAACCCCACCAGCTGCAGAATTTATGAAAAAAAAAAGAACAATTTAGTATTTGCTAAACCGCTTTTTATGGATTTCGTATCTGAAACAAGTTCTTGTACCTGAAAGATACGAGATGATGCGAAGATCCCTCAACCAAACACTTGGCAGAACAATGAGAGCAGTTAAGATTCCAAACAAATGTGTGGAGTCGAGATGGATACCGATCCAGTTCAAGGATGTACCGGGGAATAGACCGGCAAGGTTATCCCCCTCCAGAATGATGAATTCGACACAATATGACTGTCAAAGTGGACATAAAACCTAGTGAGTTGAATAAGAAAAGTAGCTATATAAGCTGAGGTCCAAGATCTATGGATAAAGAAAATAAATGTACTTACATACAGCTCCGTGTACAGTAGCACCTGTGACATACAAAAATTGAAGAACTATCATACTCTTTATATGACAGCTTCATCAATGCATCATTCTAATCTATGCCCTCATTTTTATAAGTTATTTCTTCTATGATCCGGATTATGTCAGAACACGACTGGCTCGTATGAAATCATAAAAGGGATTGGGAACTTACACATATCAGAATGCGTCCATATTTCCCGAAAGCAGCTTCTCCAATGTCAGGGTACGTAACTATGCCGCTTTTACTCTCGAAACAGTCTCTCATTAGAGAAGCAGTGTAACAACATATGACGGCAAATAAGACAAGGATGAACATACTTGCCCATCCAGCTTCTTTCACCGTGAAAGGTGTTGAAAGTAGCCCAACTCCAGCCATTACATTTACCCCTTCCATAAAAAAATGCAACAAAGTTGAAGCTTTTCCGTATATTATGAAGAGAACGATATATATACGCATATATACACTAGCAGACATGGGTGTCAACTTTACAGACAAGATCTAATCTTATGATCACTTCTCAAACTGAAGGAACTATAATTATCCAAATATACTACCGGCAAAGAGTTTTTCCGAAGAGTTATGCAGGGTTACTATCACTGATCACGGAAAGGAGTTGTTGCAACACTTACCATTAAAAATTGTTTGCGTGAAGCTGCATCCACGACCAATAGGTAACTCTTCTGCGAAAGAACCTTTATGCGACCAAGCAGATTGTGTAACTGAGATTCTGTCCACATCTTCAGTATTCTCCGGGAGCAAAGGAGATTTTGTGTCAAGATCCAAACTACTCTTGCTGTTTCTATGGAAACTTGAGAAACTCTTTAGGGACCCGAAGATCGGCGAGGCAGCAATGGTGTAAGAATCAGTTGTTTCCCTGTTCCAAAACAACCCCACAAGATAAGAATCGGTCGATATTATTACTTCCCAAAGCTATCAGATTTGATCGTAAGATTGAAACTTTGCAACTCCCACAGGCTTCAAGAAAGCTACAAATGCAAAACATAACACTAAAATAAGACAGAACTGCAGAGGATGAGTTTGCCTCTGAGAAGCGACGGAATCATGCGAACAAGAATCTATGTAAAGCCGAAACTATGAATTCAGTGGTCCTGATGAACTGAAAAACAATCATCAGGGCACTACTCGTACTATACTCTCATGAAGCGAAACGTATTGAACAGCCTCGATTATCAGGAAAAAAGTGTTCTAGGGTGAGAATACAAAGAATAACCAGCAAGTGATTCATCTACAGAAGATTCGTTCATAACAAGTACATATTTTCATCGTGAAACAAAGGGAGATTTTGCGACAAAACAGTATCACCACTTCCGAACCCACAAAAAGGACAAGAACAGGAGAAGAAACACGAGGGTTTCAAAACATACTTGTAGCTCTGCGGCCATTGAATTTCGGAAGTGAAAGCATCGTCTTCTTCGAGATCTCCGTCGTCATTGCTGCGACCACTATCACTGCTGCTGTCCGACTTTGCGTTCTCTTCCAAATCACCGTTCTCTTCCTCGCCCTCGAACGCGAACTGGGTCTCTCGCCCCTCGTCCTTCTTCTCTGCCATTGTCGCGATACCAAAGACGACGAATCAAACGAATGCAAACCCTAGAACCCTTGAGCCGAGGACAATCTCCTAAGAATATGAGACTTGTTCTACAAGTGTGATTCAAAGAGTGGGTCAGAATTCGAGAAGTTGCAGTCTGCTCAGAGACGGAGATGGCAAATACGAACAAGGAATTCCGAGATTTTCTTTTTGGGAATTTTGTTATATTCATTAAAAATTAGAAATTATTTTTAAAATACGGCCGCTCTGTCCGCGATTTGCCTGTTTGTTATTGGGCGGGAATGCTGACGTGGCGCGGGTGATGGGATACATCAGAATTTCGTAACAGATTATACAGGTCATGGACTCAGCTTTAGCTCCCCGTTCGCCTCTTCGTCGCGTTCAACGCACGTGCCCTTGCACGTGCCATTCTTCTTGTTCTTCTCCTTTTTTCTTTTTTTGAGGTAAATATTTTTTTGTTTACCATAAGTTGGGAAGGAAAATCATTGGTTATGGAAATTAAATTATCAACTAATTAACATCAAAGTTGGAATTATCAATTATTTAATTAATAAGTAACATCGTATCTCGTTCTTATTATAAGTGATAAGTATGGGAACTTTTATCTCCTCCAAAAAAAATTGTTACAAATAAATATTTTTTGGTCAAGTAAAAAAATTTAAAAATTATTTTTTCATCATTTTATAAATTCAAAAATTTTAATGAGTTTTATCCATGGTCCATGGAGTATTTCAAATAATAATTTCTAGATATCTTCCATCTATTACGGAGTTTGCTGCGCATCCTAATCGCAAAAAAATTATTTTTTTATAAAGCAAAGAAAAATTGTTATATGATCCAATAAGTTAATTACAATTATAATATGTCTCCATAAAAAAAAGTTAAAGAAAAAACACTCTCCTGCTTTTTTTTAATTCACAGTAAAAAAATATTAGTAATTAAAACCCACAATTATTGAGTTTATTATGTACATAATACCGAAAGTAAAACCAAAGAAAAAAGAGAAAAAAAAAGGGATAAAATTGCATGTGAAGGTGACGGAGCCATTTGTCTCTTTCTCAACGGCGTTGCGAAGGTCCCAGGTTCTTCTCGAACGACGCAATTATCTTAAATTTAATTTATGCTAATTTAAAATCATGTGACGGATAACTGTTGAGATATGGGCCTCATACTACGACCAAACATCTCGGCCCATATAACCAACAAATGATCCAGGCCCATAATATATTTCATAAAATATGTATTTGGAGCTGTATATGTTACATATCATACATATTTATAAAGTGTAGATTTTGTTAGCAGATTTTTTAAGGATGTGATCGGAACTGGCTTCACCGGCGGCGGAGGCGTAAAAGATATTACTACGAACCCTTCTGTTTAATCCCCTCCCTGCTCTGTCTTCTTCTCTCGTTGTTTGTCTTGATTGATTGGAAGATATATGGGGAAACAAAAGGGGTAATGGAAGTTTAGTTTCGTTGAATTTAAGTGACCCTTGATGGATTTTTTTAGTAGAATCGCTGTCCGATAGTTGGATTCCAGCGAAAGATAGGCGATCGATTTAAGGGTTGATATATGTGCTTTGGCAGTTCTGTTAACTGTTCGACATAATGCCGCACTGAGCTTTGAGTTTCTGGAAATTTAGTTTACAAGTTGTTCTTGTTTTTCAATAGTAGATGTTGTCGGGTCCGAATCGGAGATCCCCCACAGGCTTCAAGATGTCTCTTGTATGACTCGATCAAAAATTATTATTGTTACTTTTTCTTCTCTCTTTTTTTTTTCGGTTACATTTTCTTGCAAATTGTGTTGTATTCATGAGAGGGATGGTCGGAGATGCTAAGAATAGAAAACACGGGTCTTTCTTGTTTCTCCAAATCTCAAGGCTTTCAGAGGTTTGAGGGGATGAATGGGTTGTTATTTGAACGACAAAATTAGCAGGAGGAATTGACAAGAAAAGATGAAATGTCGGAGAGAACTTTCATCTCTTAACTCTTTTGGCCATTGGTTTTTTTCTCTCTGTTTCTCTGCTAGGTTTCGAACATGGATCGGAGCAACATTCATTCCGATAATGTTGTATACTGAATGACAAAATCAACCCTTTTTTTCATTCCTCTCCACCTTGTTTCCCATTTTTTTTCCAAGGAAAAAGGAAACTGAAATTCACAGAGGCAAAGAACAAAAGAATGCAGAGGACAAATGTTTTTGCCGGTTTTATTTTGTGTTGCTTCTGATTGAAATATTTTAGATTCATTATTTTCTTTTTCTTCAAACCCTGGTCAGTTCGCCCTGGTTATGTGTAGTGTGATCTTTAGGATTGTTGTCTGAACAAAGATAATCTTGTTTTCCTTTCTTCATGAGAGAAAGGTCTAGGATTTAAAACATAACTGTGGCTCTAGCGAAATCTCTTGCAGCTTAACACAATGAGCAAAGAACAAAGTTGTGTTCTAAAAGCATGGGAGGTGACTGTGCGGAAGACCCAGCAAGCCAAGAAGCGGGCAAACAGCATTTTTGGAACAATATCAGTGGCTCCTCAGACAGATGATGATACTACCACTGATGAAAATGATGATGAGAGCAGCAATAGCAGGAGCAGCACAGGAGATCTATACCAGGCGGAGAGAATTCTTCCGAACGGGGACTATTACACAGGGCAATGGTATGATAGCTTTCCCCACGGGCAGGGGAAATACCTATGGACAGATGGCTGCATGTACATTGGCGAGTGGTACAATGGGAAAACAATGGGGAGGGGAAAGTTCGGGTGGCCTTCCGGGGCCACATACGAAGGTGAATTCAAGAGCGGATACATGGACGGGATTGGCACTTACACGGGTCCCAGTGGGGATACGTATAAAGGGCAATGGGTAATGAACCTGAAACATGGACATGGCATCAAAAGTTATGCTAACGGAGATATGCATGACGGGGAATGGAGGAGGGGTTTGCAAGAAGGGCAAGGAAAATACCAATGGCGGGATGGAAGCTATTACATTGGAGAATGGAAGAATGGCATGATCTGCGGCAAAGGGACTTTTGTATGGACTAATGGAAGTAGGTATGACGGGTTTTGGGAAGATGGTTTCCCTAAAGGAAATGGTACCTTCAAATGGGATGATGGGAGTTTCTACATAGGTCATTGGTCCAAGGATCCAGAAGAGATGAACGGTACTTATTACCCTTCGGGAAACGAGGGGAATCCTGAATGGGATCCTAAGGATGTGTACAATAATCTTAGCGAGTACAATATCTGCAGCGGAGAGAGGGTTCCTGTGATGCCTTCACAGAAAAAGCTCTCTGTTTGGAATTCTTCCAAGCGTGTAGAGAAGCCGAGAAGGATGTCAGTTGATGGAAGGGTGAGTGTGGGTGTAGATAGGGCATTCGAGAAGATGAATATGTGGGGAGGGGACAGTGGTAATGGCACCGGCGATTCTGATTGCACGAGGAGGGATTTGGATGCTGATTTGCTGAGACTGGAGGCTGATGGCAGCATGCAGAACACAAGGCCATCCCCTCTGCCCATGAGACTGCCGAGGGCAGGGAGGAAGCAAGGTGAGACGATATCCAAAGGCCATCGGAATTATGAGCTTATGCTTAATCTACAGCTAGGAATAAGGTAAAATATTTCAACTTGCATCTCCTACTTGTTTCTTTTTAGCATACTCCTCTATTATACAATTTGATGATGCTTCGATCTTGTTAGTGCAAATGGTATGATGGTTGCTGTTTCTAAAGGTATGCTTGTGCAAATTATACAGGCATTCTGTCGGAAGACAAGCTCCGATTGTATCTCTTGATCTGAAGCCTTCAGCTTTTGACCCAAAGGAGAAGATATGGACGAGGTTTCCACCAGAGGGAACCAGATACACTCCTCCACATCAATCTAGTGAATTCAAATGGAAAGACTATTGCCCATTAGTTTTTAGGTCAGACACAACACATGCTTCTGCTTATTTCATATTCTTACTCAAACTATATTGAACCCTACCTTATGTACTCCCACCCATCTTGCAGATTCTAACCGTATGTAACTATTTTTGTCTCCAGGAGCTTGAGAAAGCTGTTCAAGGTAGACCCAGCTGATTACATGTTATCTATCTGTGGGGACGATGCCCTAAGGGAACTATCATCCCCCGGTAAAAGTGGTAGCTTTTTCTATTTAACCAATGATGATCGTTACATGATAAAGACGATGAAGAAGTCGGAAACAAAAGTGAGTTCCTCGTTGGAACTGCAAGCCCTTGCCTTTTATTACCGGATCTAGATTCAGGGTATGGATAAATTGCTTTCTGTTTTTTTTTTTTTTGTATTCAATGCAGGTTCTTCTAAGGATGCTTGCAGCATATTACAATCATGTTCGAGCATTTGAGAACACTTTGGTAATCAGGTTCTACGGTCTACACTGTGTGAAGTTGACTGGACCGATCCAAAAGAAGGTGCACAAATTTTAGCATTTTGTTCTTCGGGCTAACAAAAAATTGTTGTATTAGCTCTACAGGATGAGGATGTTTGCTCTTGTCATTCGGAAATTTCAAAATAAAGCTAAATAAAAGCATACAGCTAAAAGGGTATTCCGATTTTCTTAATATTTCATCCACGAAATGCAGGTGAGGTTTGTCATTATGGGCAACCTGTTTCGTTCCGAGTATTGCATCCACAGGCGCTTTGACTTGAAAGGATCTTCTCTTGGTCGGACAACTGACAAGCCCGAGTCAGAGATTGATTCAAACACAATCCTGAAAGATCTCGACCTGAATTTTGTTTTCAGACTGCAGAAAGCATGGTACCAGGAGTTCATCAGGTGAGATATTATCCAATCTCTACCCGTATCGATCTTTTCTATTTCCTCGAATCCTTTCATTCATTCCAACACATTGTTTTACAGGCAAGTGGATAAAGACTGCGAGTTTCTAGAACAGGAAAGAATCATGGATTACAGTCTTCTGGTTGGTATTCACTTCCGAGAAGCATCTGTCGCTGGGGAGCTGATTCCTTCTGGAGCTCGAACGCCTATTGGTTTGCCGCTTAACCCTTCCCGAATCGAATCATTTATCCCCAGAACGCATCATTCGCTGATGAAAGCCTTTTTCTTCTCGTTTTTTCAGGTGAATCCGAGGATGATACAGGCCCTCGGCTTTCTAGAGCAGACGTGGATCAGCTTCTTTCAGACCCCTCGAGGTAAAACACTTGCAACTTTGCAGTAACACCAGATTGATGGCCAAAAACTTTGAACCCGTATCAAAAAAACTGTTACAGAGAACTAGCTGCACATATGTATGCTTGTAAAGAAGCATAATGAGAAAATTTTCCCAGCTCTGCTTTCTTTCTGCTCTGTTTTCCCTTGTTTTCTCGGCTGCCAAACAATTTTTCTGTTTGCAGGTGGGCGAGCATCAGATTGGGAGGTAACATGCCAGCACGGGCAGAGAGAACGATGAGAAGAAGCGACTGCGAGTTGCAGCTTATCGGGGAGCCAACGGGAGAATACTACGAGGTAGTGATGATCTTTGGCATTATAGACATACTTCAAGACTACGACATAAGCAAGAAGCTCGAACACGCCTACAAGAGTATTCAGTATGACCCGTTATCGATATCGGCTGTGGATCCGAGGCAGTATTCGAGGCGTTTCCGGGACTTTATCTTCAAGGTTTTCACCGAGGATAACTGAGAGAGTTTCTTCAGACCCTTTTAGGTGTCTTGCGTTCCAAGAAAGAAGGCTTAGGTATATCTCTATATCTATACATATCAATCTACATCTACATATATGTGTGTGTTACACACTCTGGCAAGGGCGTATAATTCATTTTCTGCTTCATCTTTCTGATTACGTAATAAACTCTGTAACAAAACCTTTGGCAGCCATAGAAGTGAATCTTCATTCCTCTTACTATCTTTATCTCCAAACACTTTGCTGGAATCCCATTGAATCTATTGCCATGTAGAATCTAAACCGTGGGATCTATAATTGTAACTATTCTGAAAGATTTTTGTAAATCTTGATGACATTCCAATCTATGTTGTTCTTCATTTGGTGAAAGTCCAAATACATAATATTTATATGTGTGTATATATATATATAGCACAAGGCAAAGGATCCTGGTGAGATTGGAAATTGACACTAATTATAGAACTAACACCTTTGATTTGTAGTGTGATTAGAGAACATGATTAGTTAACTAAGAACAAACAATTTAAGACATGTAAACTAAAGCATTTAAACTGATTTCCACACATCTCTCATACAAATCAAAGACAGCAGCTTGTCTCTTAAATCTCCGCAGCTCAACTTGTGATGAGCCTCCGCCTGAAAATGTACAGTATAAAAGAGCCGATCTCCTCGAGACAGCGAAGAAGAAGCGTCTATTATAACGAAGCCATCCTCTTCGAGACCTCTTAAAACATTCGGAAACGAACATTTGTGAGCCTTGAGCGATGAGATTTGGACCACCGCTTCTGTCTCATTGATTCTCGCCACTGTGACAATCGATCCAAAACCAGTCGCCTTTGTCGGTTCGCTCTTCTTCTCATCATCTTTGTCGTTTTCACATAGGAGATCTCTTTGGCCAGAGAGCCTTACCATGAGCTCTTCCTTCTTCTGTAAGAGCTTCTTGATCTGTTCTACCAGCTCTGGAATGTACTTCAACGCGTGAGAAACAGTCGCTGGAATACTTAACTTCTTCTGCAAGAAATTAACGTTTTCGGATTAGGTCCTGTGATTCTTTTAATTGTATATTGAATCTTGATTACGTTTGGTGATTTTTAGTAGTTGCCCATGAGATCGACATGTTTGGATCATATTGGAACATTTCAGTTTCAGCATGAATCTTGATGAGATAATATCGGTTTATATACAGTATCACTAGTTAGCATAAACTCTGCTATATGTTTGTATGGTGTGTATATATGCATGGAATCATACGTCAAATCAAGTAAAATTTCGAGATATGTGTTTTAAAGTAATTACCGAGCAGTCGGACGGGGGAAGGAGTGAACGAAGAGACGAGAATAAGGCGTTGATCTTCTTGCGGCGGTCGCGTTCGCTGGCGTTGTGGTTCATCTTCTTCGCCACCGCCCTGCCGTTGCTCTTCCCGTCTCCCTCCGAGGAGTTTGACAATCCCAAACTCGCCGGAAATTCGAGAAACTCGCCGGCGTTTATGTATCCGCCGCCGTAGATTTGCTCCTCCGACGGCCATCCGAAGTCGGCGAACAACGGAGGGACCAAGGCACACATTTTGTCGTCTGTTTTTTGGGGGGTTTCTCGAAAATGTTGGTTTGGAAGGATGCAGGAGTCGGTTGGAATCTTGATGTCTTATATTGGTCCGTGAATATATACATACATATACATATATATAATATAAGCATATACAAAAAAGAATATAAAATTCTCGGTGATTCAATATATGATACTATATAAGAGAAAATGTAAGTCTCGAAAGAGCATGTGTGGGCACGTGTTGTGCGTATATAACGACAAGCCCTGTTAATTATTTTTTAAGTTAACCTAAAACGTCAAAACATAAAGAAATATTCGGAAGCGTAAGCTATACACGAGCCATGCATGGGCATGCACGAGCAGACACGTGAAAATCACGGGGAAGACGTACGTTTTGCTTCCTCACGTAAGCCCACTGTTCATCTGAACCTATGTATGTATATACGTAAGCATATGCCTTGAAAATAAATAAATAAATTTCTCCCGTCGTTTTTATTTACTGTTTGGTACTCTGATCCTTATATATACCATCAAACACATTTATGATATATATATATATATATATATATCTGCAGATTTTGTAGATGAAACATGGCGACACCATTAATGGAGGTCTACTTGGGTTTTTAGTTTAGGAGAAACGATGTAGGGAATAAAGGAATATTCGAGGAATCACAAAAGGTCGTTGATGTCGGTAACTCATGTTGGTGGTAGGTATCCGACAAGAGGTCGTTAATGTCGTTATGTTTCGGCTTCCCCCTCCAACGAAAATGGGCCTCATTAGTGAACACTTTACGGGTCTTTCAACCTTGACTTATTATGATGGGCTTTTTAATAAACAGATGGGCCTACAATATTGTAATATTGGCGTTACTTTTTTTAAAAAAAAAAATTGAGAGAAGAGGGAGAGAAAAAACCCCAAATCTCAAATTTAGGGTTTCTCTATAGCTCTCTGATAAACTCGGCGACTCACACTGGTATTCATCTTCGTCTCTTCTACTGCAGCGGTAAGCTTCAAAGTTTTTGTCTTTAAAAAAAAAAATCTGTTCGTCAAAGTTTCGTTTTTTTGTTTAATCTCTGTCCGTTGACACGAGAATCCAGTGTGGAAGAGTTCTTTCCCATGTTTCTGTTTTTTTTTTTCTAGCTGGCGATAAGGTTATTGCTTTTCGCATCCGCTTCTTTGTTCTGCAACATAATAGCGATGTGCTTGTGATTTCTTGCCCATTGAAGCGTGTTTTTTCAGAAAATATGGTGCGGCCCTATGGGATAAAAGTGAATAAGAGGAAGCAGAGACAAGAGAGGTACGATAAGGAAGAATGTGGAGAAGAAGAGCAAAAAAGGGTTGAAGAAGAAGAAGAGGAAACGGTGAAGAAAGCGAAAACGGAGGATACGTCATCAGGAGCAGAGGAAGATAATGGAGAGAAGGAAAAAGGCGAGGAAGGCGGAGGTACAGCAACGGATGAGCTTGAGGGCATTCCCATTGCCAAGAGTGATCTTAACACGACGAAGCCGGGTATCGTTTTCGTACTCGAGAAGGCTTCTCTGGAAGTTGCTAAAGTCGGGAAGGTATTCACTTGATTGCGCATATAACACGTATAACCCTCAAGAACAGGTTCTCAATCACTTGATGTGATATGATTTGGTCTGTTCAAGGTGCTAATGTATATAATTCTTGTATGCAGACTTACCAGCTATTGAACTCTGATGATCATGCTAATTTCTTGAGGAAAAATAATAGAAACCCTGCTGATTACCGGCCCGATATTGTTCATCAGGTCAGTTGTCTTGGAACCAAAGTCATCTCTGTTCACATGTCTTACCCGTTTCAACTAATCTAGGAGTCTCTTCCCCTCTTCAGGCCCTTCTGATGATCCTCGACAGTCCTGTCAATAAGGCTGGAAGGTTGAAAGCAGTGTATGTTAGAACCGAAAAAGGTGTTCTTTTCGAAGTTAAACCTCATGTTCGTATTCCAAGAACGTTTAAGCGGTTTGCTGGCATCATGTGTAAGTTTAGCTGTTTTGATCTCAACCTTTGGTGATATTGGTTAGCTATAATTATCTTTAGTTCTCTTGATTCTTATACAGTATCTTGGTCTCACAGTGCAGTTGTTACAGAAGCTAAGTATAACAGCCGCTGGCAAGCGCGAGAAGCTTTTACGGGTGATCAAGAACCCGGTAACACAATATCTACCCGTTAATTCCCGGAAAATAGGTAAGCCTACACTTTCCTACATATGTCTCTTGTCCCGTCTTGTGTTACTTAAGCTATAAGATGATTCACCTTGTTTCTTTTATCAGGCTTCTCGTACAGTTCCGATAAACTGGTAAATATGCAGAAGCACCTATCCGGAGTTTGTAATGACATGGACGTTGTTTTTGTGGTAAGCTCTGAATTCGACTTGTTTGTTAGTCCATCTCTGGAGAAGCTCTATCCAAACCAAACTATGAGCACTATGCGTATTTCCTTAACATTCCAGGTCGGTGCGATGGCCCATGGGAAGATAGAGTGCGATTATATCGAAGAGTTTGTGGCTGGTAAGTCCTTTACCGATCCTTTATCAGTGATTGTTTCTGATTTTCTGGCATGTTTGGACATATAGACATGGGCGACCCACGTTGAGATGTATGGAGGCATATGCCGCCATTGGTGTGTGATTAAAATGTTATAATTTCTTCATAAATCATATCATATTTTAACGAGATTTAGTAAATGCTCCCGTAAGAAAATTTTGTTTATCATATGAAAAAAAAATTTTGCCCCCAGTTAAAAGTTTTGCTAGGTCCGCTACTGCATATAGAGGCACTAGATTCAATAGATTGAAACAGGGCATTGTTATATATATATGGGATGATACATGCCTTGAAAGATCTTGTTTTCTGCAGTTTCTGGATATCCACTGAGTGCTGCATACTGTATCTCAAGAATATGTGAGGCTTTGTCGACGAATTGGGACATAGTGTAATAACTGGCCCGTGAACAATGTGGTTGGACTTGGACAGGGGTTGTGCATCAAAGTATTTGCTATTTCAGGAAAGGAACTTGATGTATGGTATTTTTAGGAAAGGATCTTGAAAGCTTCATTCCTTATTGCAACCTTTTATGTTCCGATTTACAAAACTGCTTCAAGAAAAGAAAACCTACAGAGATTTCCAAAGCATCTATCTCTTCCTCTTCCTGTGGTGTTGGGCCTTGGCAGATGTCTCAAATCTTCACCCCTATCCTATAAGCAACCTGCATGAATACAAAAAAAAAGTTTCTTTACATCTTCAAATCCTTGGTGGTTCACCAAGTTAATGATGATTGATCATGTTTGTGTTGTGTTCATTGTTCAATGAGAAGAACCTCCTTGAAGGAAGTAACATCACTTCCCCAGAGCCAGGCATCGCAGCCAGCGTCTCTGGCCCCCCATACATCGTTCCTACGGTCATCTCCTACATGAACTGCATCCTCTGGATTCACACCCAACAGCTCACAAGCTTTCAAGAAGATTGTTGGGTTTGGTTTCTCTGCTTCAACCTGAAATTATTCAAGGTGAATTAGACCATTCACTCCTCCTCTGTTTCATATAATCAAAAACCAGAAAGAATTCAGGGAGAGATTCAGAAGGAAGGAAAGAGGGTATTACTTCTGCTGAAACAGCAATAGCGTCGAACCAGTTTTCGCATCTTAGGGCACGTAAAAGCGGCCTTAACCGAGTGTCGAAGTTGGAGACAACAGCCACCTTTACGCCCCTTTCTCTCAAGGCCTTGAATACCTTCTCTGCTTCTGGATCACATAGCTTCCATGCCTGAAAGGAAGTAAATGAACATACTTTATGTTAAAATACATAAAAGAAGAAAGAACCCGCATAGAAAGAACAAGCCTTTAGACATCCGCACATGTTCTGTAGTGTAGTAGTTGTAAAGCTCTTCAAAGTAGCGAGAGTCCGAGCAGCCGGTTGAGGCGCTCACTATATACTGCCAGAAGGGTCTTGCATCATTCACGTATCTGCAAATGCATATACATGTATTGGCTTTTGTATAATCCAAAGTCTTGCATAACAAAATTTATCAGACATGAGCAGGTGAGATGTTCTGTACGAATCTATACGCGATGAAGAGAGCCGTGTAAGCAACATAAGCAGTTGACATGAATTCAGACAATCAACAAATGCATTGGAAACACTTGCGAAACCTGGGGAGTAAAACAAGGGAAGAAAAGAGATGGACCTGAGACGAGATCCACCCCAGGGCTTCTCGTAAGCTCTTCTGTATCTTTTAAGAATCTCATCCTCCGAGTACTGAACTCCATATTTCTCTCCAATTGCCCTGTATATCTACAGAATCACCCACGAATCGAAACTTTCACGTAAGTTTCCATAGATTCGGACAACATTAGAGTCTTGCAGAAGACAGTACGAGAATTAAGCATAAAGTCCTCCCGACAGAAAAATGAACAGTATGCATCGATGATGTCATACAGAAATCAATAAAAAGTGGGTATGAGTATTAAATCATACGCGACAATTTAATTCTCTAAGATCGATTCAGTATCAATTTAACCCAGGAAATGGATATGTCATCTCAGAATCCCCAGTTGCAGAGTACAAACACCCTACAACAACAAAGAACATGTGAAGCAACTGCATGATTGGAAGCTGCCCAGGAAAAGATCATGAACCATGATAGATACCCATGAGAGAGAGAGGGAGAGGGAGAGCCAGCGAGCGAGAGAGACCTGGGCCATGGGTTGCGCGGGAACGAGGAGAGTGCCAACGGCATCGACGAGCAAAGCCTTGTGAGTGATTTCACCGTAGAGAGATCTCCGGTAATCTTCGTAATCCTTCAGTCCGCGTCCGACCTCGTACATATCGCTTTCATCATCCGTTGCAGCAGCAGCAGCAGCCGAGGACGAAGCAGAGGAAAACCACCGGCCGACCACTGACCCGACCCCGGTCATCCTGTCGGGAATCCGACCCGGTTTCCTCACCTGGGTCTTATCAACGATAGAGAATAAAAGCGTAGTTAACCTCCTGCTTCTCATCGCCATTACTCTCTCTCTCTTTCTGTGTTCTGCGTTTCCTCCGTCCTCCGGTTGATGAGCCCGGTTAAAGAGGAAGACTGCGTGTGCAGCGGGGGATCTTAAAGAATGCCCAGAGGCGTCAGTGATATTACGATCGTGCCCTTGCTCATCATCCTTTTATAAGTAGAAGCGATGATGTGGCATTTCGATGCGAACGTAACTAGAATGCCACGTCAGCTTAGTCACTTGTTTAATGGATCGTTAATCATACAAAACGTCTCAATTATTGGAAGGCTTTAAAATATAATATGTTGGTCAAACCAGTTCAGATCATAATTGAACATTAAAATATAATATGTCGGATATATATATATATACACATGCATCCACACTATATATATTATATGCATATGTATGTTACATTTTATAAATTGGTGGGGGGAAATTATTGTGATGCATGACCTAACAAAAGAGAAACCATTTAAATTGAATAAAGAAAAAGGTGTGTATGCACAAAGCAAAAGGGCAGACCTTTCATATATATTCTCAAATTATTTTTGTCAGCATTTCAAATTATCTTTGTGGGAAAGTCACTATATATATATGAGGCTTGGGAATTTTATATCTTGCTGTTATTAAGTATTTATTAATAAATATTTATAATAATTTGAACCAGGGACAATAAACGTGTAAAAACTAATAATTTTATTATTTGTTTTAATTTTTATTCTAAAATTTAATATCGTTAATCCTATATACATTTCTTTTGTGATAAATACCTTATTTTTTATTATTATGAGCATCTTCCATGTATATATATACATATAGGTGGGTATGCGTGAATATTGTATGGAATAGTTGCAAAATTAAAAATAAATCATATTGTGATATGGCGTCAGAGTATGGAAGCATCTTCTTATCTTTCGTTTCAATGCGAAAAGTATGGCGCAACCCGAAAAAGGAACGATTTAATAAAGAAAATTTGTCATATATATATATATATATATATAACAGAAGAGATAACGTTTATCTTTTAGGTCTGCAGATGTTTTTTCCTTATATTATCTGGTCTTTTTTACCCCATTCTTGTATTAAAATTAAGTGCCCTGTCATAATTACAAATTACCGATCTTGGTAGCTATATGTAGCATTGGCTCTATCTAACCTCAATTATCAGCGTATATATGTAATAGATAATATATATATATATATATATATATATATATATATATATATATATATATATAAAAAAAAAAAAATTTGGGCCATGCAAAGGAATATGAGGACATAAATTTAGCAACAGTCCATTTAGGGATCTCTATGGCAAAAAAAACGTGGCTTAGAATTTGTAAGCGGACGAAAAATGGGTCCATACGGAAGGTTATTTGATTGCCGTCGTGATTGCAATGTGTCCGCTTATGGTCTTACGTTGGGCCCCAATTCGAAATAGAATCCCTCTCTCTCTCTCTATCGAAAACCGGATGCAATATTCTCCGGTTTTGTTGATTTTGATTTTAATTTCGTTTCCGGTTATGTTTATGAGTGAACAAGTTTGGATATATGGAATGGATTGTGAGTAAATAAGTATCGATTGTATTGAAATGGAATGCGACATAAAAATGGAGCAGTTATAAATCTTTTTTCATTCAAATGGATGGGATAAATTTTATCTACATGGAGTTAAAAAACAACCACGCTGCCGAATAAAAATAAAATTATTTTAATAAAATCAATATTTTTTTAACGAAAATTGAACTCGAAATTAAATATTTCGTTTTCAATATTTTTTAACACCAAAAAAAATTCTGAACCGCATACATATACAGCATAGGTTAAAATATCTCGTGGATTTATCATCATATATCTATGATTATATATATAACATAAATTAAGCTAAAGCTGTATGGATTTTGCACAAACGTGGCCCATAATATACGCATAATACAAGGATCAATAAACACAAATGGTGTATCTAGAGATCGTGACAAGAGACAAAAAATCTACAAAGATATGCGTATCTATAACTATAAGTAACTCCGGGGTGACATTTGATTCAAAACGGAATAAGTATTACAACTCCATAAATATTTTGGTGACAGTAAAAAAAAAAAAGAACAGAAACTCTGAACTGTTGATGGAAGGCGTAAAATTTCGTATATATATAATTTATGTTCATTAATTACTACATCTACATGTATTTATATAACCCAGCGAAAGGTGAATTGACCGAACCAACCCAAAGAACCCCATCCCTCTCCTCAACTTCACTAATGGACTTCAACCTATTTCCATTTTTACCCTCGAAAACCTCCAATATTTCGCCAGTGCCCTCGCTCAACCTCACGGCCATGCCATTGCCCCTGTACTCGGCCCACACCCCATGCACCTTCATCCAGTCCACCGGCAGCCTCATGGCCGCGCGCCCCCGCCACGGGGTCGAGGCCGCGGACTTCGTCAGCCGCGTAACTTCGTCAGCCGCGTAAGCTTCGTGTTTAGCCCCACCCAGAATCCGCCACGTGGACTCCTCTTGATGTTGTCGGGGAACCCCGGGAGCTCGGCGAAAACCTCGTAGTTTTCTCGGGGATCGGACGACGTGGTGTTGAGCCAGTAGCGTAGGATCCGGCACGTAGTTGTCTCGGCGAAGAGGAGGAAATCACCGTTTTGGCTCAAGACGACGCCGTTTGCGAATGATATGTTGCGTAAGAGAGTAGTTGCTTGTTCGGTACGTGGGTCGTATTTCATGAGCCTTCCGGTCCTGTCTCCGCTCATGATTATTGATATATGATTCCTGAAACAATAAATAGATGATACATATATAATAATCATACTCAATTTTATATTATAAAAATAAAAACGAAATTTGAAAAAAAAAAGTTATCTAGTCTTTACCTCCGAGGAAAAACCGAACTGCTGTCGGTAAAGTAGACAACCCCATCGCGTGGATCAATGTCCAGCGCGTTGGTGAATGTGAGGGGGATGTCATCTACACGTGTCACAATCGGATTGGCTACACCACCTTGTGGGCCTACCTTAACAAGGCCCATATAAGAGTCCGCTATATAGAGATCGCCGTTAGATCTGTCGAAGCCCAAGCCCAATGGTCTCCCGCACACGTCCTCCGTACGGTCATGTTCATGCGGCCCCTCACATCCGTCTCTTCATCGTTTATAAAAAAACTCCCATGAATTCCCTCCACAACGTTGTGAAATAAAAATCATTACAGATTGTTATTGTTGTTGAATATAACCAACGAAATTCATTTAATTCTATTTCTCTACTTGTTAACCAACCAACTTTATTGAACATCTCTTTATGTTTGATAGAACAAGGTTCCTATTACCAAACCCTCCATCCGAATATCGTTATGTACACGCATGGGACTAAAGATATTGGACCATAATGTCGTACGGGAATCAAATTCGGAATGTGGGTGAATATTTGGTGCGACCGAACCAACTAAAAATGGGGAAAATGGCAATTCAGAAGGTAACACAACATTTGGTGTGTGTGACAGCCAATTTGAAATGTCCCCTTTACTTTGCCTAATTGGAGAAAATGATGTCTCCCATTTCTCGCGTTATTTGTTACTCGTAACCTCTTTTTTTTTTAATAATAAAAAATGACATCTCGATTCCTTCATGAATGTGAATGTGATTATAATTATATATATATATGTGCGTATGAAGATTTATGGTACTAAATCACGTGCTGATTCCGAGAATTTCGAAAACAAAGGAGGACACGTGAAAGTGGAGTGTATATGCAGCCAGCCGTAAACCAATCCCTACCCGATATGGTTCGAACTATGAACACGCACACAAACCAATCAAACTCGATTTTCTCGAAACGAAATCCACAGAGCTAACCAATGAATCTTGGAACTGGGTTTCATGGAAGTGAACCGAAACCGTTTCATAATTAATTCCAACGAATTAAATTCCCAAACAGAAGGAACCGGTGGTGGGTATAATAATTAAGAGAAACAACAACAACAAAAAATGTGTCAGAATTGACATTTTTACCTTGAAGATGGAGAGGTGACTGCGAAATCGATCCAACGGCTCTCGTTGGAGACCCACTTGACGATCCGACCGTCGGACAATCCGGTGAACGGACCATCTCCGGAGACGTCGAAGGCGAAGCTCTCGGGACCGTGAGCTCCGGTGGTCGGAATCAGACCGAAATCAGGGAAATTTACAGTCACAGAAGATTCTCCGGCTACTGGGTTATCGCCGGAGAATCCAAATATGTGGAAGAGAAGGGCAACGGCCATGGTGGCCACCAAGAACCAGAGCTTCTTCATTTTTTTTTATATATATATTTTGTGATTTCAATGGGAAAAAAAATGGAGGAGAAGCTTTTGTAAATATGTTTTGTGGTTTTGTATGTGTCAGAAGTCAATAAATAGAAGGGTGCATACATGTCGAAGGGGTGGAGTGGAGACGTATCACGTACCTTCTTAATCCCCTTTTTACAAATAAATACGTAACTAAATAAATATATAAAGCCTCTATTTTTTTCATTTAACATGTTTTATTTTTATATTATTCCTCCTTTTTCACTTAGTGATTTTTTCATCCGCGTTATGAATTTCTGTTTTTTCACGTCAATTTTTGTTTGAGAAACGACTTCAGAATCTTCGAGTCTTGATTTGCTGCGATTTTTAGAAATTTTCGCTTTTGTTTTTTTAAACTCCAAGTCCCATAGAATTCGGTGGATTATGATTTATTTTGTTATCATCTAAATTCCATGGGAAGGTTGTCAAGAAAATGATTTTATTAAATAAAATAACTCACGGTATGTGACCAGACTGCCGTAGCCACATGGTAAGAATGGAGGTCAATTAAAAAAAAAATAAATACATTTTAATATTTAAATTCATCTCTATCATATGTTTTATATATGTTAATAATCCATCATATCTGCAACATATTTTAATAATTGAATTTCGTATCGACAAAATTTTAATAGAAATTACCAGGTCAGAATTTATATATATTAATAATTTAATAAGGGGTATGAAATAATATCACGAGTGATATTGCATACAGATTAATAAAATAGTATACTTTTTTATATTTAATTTCGATACATATTTCAATTTTCTTTATAAAACAAGAAATGGTTTTGTTTGTTCAACCATCTCGTCACAAAAGCGAAAATAATCTTTTAGGTTATTCGGTTGAGACAGTTCCATTTATGTCTTAAAGTACTCTCTAATTAACAAACTAAGCAAATTTTAGCAAAGTAAAATACCTTTCAACGACCAAAACTTTCATTAGAGGACCAACTTATCATTTTAGGAATAGGTCTATAAACGGTAATAATTTTATAAAAACAATTAGGGTTCAAAGAGGGTGATTAGTGAAAATTATACGACAAATTAATAGCAGATACTGAGATATACACTTCCTTTATTTATTTTTTGAGTGAAGCAACGTATTTGAATTAATATCAACGAATTAGACACCTTATCTCACCAAATAACGGGAGGAAACTATTATAATATTTTATCCCACTAAATTACACTTCTATACATATTTTATTCAAAAGTGTGGGAAAATTGTAGAATTATATAATAACATCAAATACGAACTCAAATAAATTTGGGGTTAAGAAGATGTAGTTGTATATAATAATATTAAATATAAGATAATTTTTCAGAAGTGAGTATGGGGTTTGGGGGATTGTCACGTGAAAAACGGTGCAAGCTGACTTTATCACATTTAGTTCCATTTCGACATATTTTTATTTTACCAATTTCTCCCTAAATGTTTCCTCACAAAGACTTCCTTATAGCCTTAAAACACATTTTAAAAACTAGTTGCTAATTCAGAAAATTATCGTATATTTGTTTTTGGTCGATGCTGTATATGTTTATTTTATTGATGCTTTTATTTTGTTGACGTGGAAACTTTGTTTTACCATAGAAATTAATGTATTTACGATATGTTATCAACTCGAACTCTCCGAGAGGATAGCATGTTGTAAGCTTGCAATTTGAAAAACTATCATTCAATCCCCGAACTTGTAACTTGTCACTGAATAAAACCTCGAACTTGCAAATTATTGTTCTAATAAATCTTTGACCGGTTTGACCACAATTTTAGGCGATAGAAAATCCACGTATTAACGGATTGTTGATGTCACCTTATACACGTTATCAATTTTAATTTAAAAAATGACATCAGTAATCCGTCAATACGTGGATTTCCGATCGTTTGAAATTGTGATCAAACCGGTCAAAGGTTTATTAGAACAATAATTTGCAAGTTCGAGGTTTTATCCATTGACAAGTTACAAGTTCGGGAATTGAATGACAGTTTTTCAAGTTGAAGGTATTTTTGCAAGTTTGAGATTTTTTAGGAGTTTTACCCTACAAATAACCATGTTGTACTAATTATTCCAAAAAAATATAAAAAAAAACGAAATTCTTTAAATTTTCGTATATATATTTGAACTTACATATGTAATTAACACGTGAATAATATAGAAAAAATTATACAATGCCTCTAATTATTATTGAATTATAAAGGCGGTAAGTTACTCCAACGAAAAAGTTTCGTTCATCTGCCTGAAATAACCTAAAAAAAATTCCCATGCAATAATTTCAGTGGTATGGTTCATGGGAAAATACATATGGAGATGGCCACAAGAACCGCATGAACTCCACTTGTCGGCAATATTCCTTGCAAATGCTTATTTAGCGTGACGAGTGTCAAAACTTTTCCTCCAATCTTTCAAATTAATTTAACATTAAGTATTCTACAATTGTTATGTTTTTTAAAAAAACTGTCTTAAAATCTGTATGAATATTGACCATTACAAATTTACTCTTGAATATTCGATCATAAGAAGTATAAAGCGAACAATAAGAAGGAAAAAAAAACAAAATCACATTAAAAAAAAAGGCTCAGAGAGTGAAGATGACAATAGGAAGACATCAGTTCCCAACTTACATCAATGAAACTAACTTTATCTTGTCTGAATCCGAATCTCAACTAAAACCAGTTTTTATTCAAAATCTAAAAGAACAAACAGAAGAAACGACAGCCCATTTCGATCAGATTCAAGAACAAGTCCATCATTTGAGATCATAGACCCAGACGTTAGGCAAGATGAACGAACCGATCCAAAGCTTACCATCCTTCTCATAGGCCTCGCTCATGAACTTCACTCTCTCTCCTTCACTGTCTTCAAGGTTCTCGAGAATCTCACCGTTTTCTGCGACTTTCACGATCGTCGCGTGAGGTTTCCCGCCCTCGAACAAGAACCAGATGAGCTCTTTCTTCATCGTCTTCACGAGAAACTTTCCGATGGCCGGATAGTTCACAACGATCCTCGAGAAAAGAGTTTTCTTGCAGTGCAAGGCAGCCCAAATCTCGCCCTTCTCGTTCCTCCGAATGTTGTCCGGATAGCCCGGGAGCTCGACAAATACGTCGTGGGTTCCGGCCTTTGGTCCCCGGAGCCAATACCGGTGGATTTTTGCGGCCGGTGGCTCGGCCACCAGGACGAATGACCTGTCCTTGCTCAAAGTCACGCCGTTTGCGAAGCCGAGTCCGGTCATCAATACTTTGGTCTCTTTCGTCTTCATGTCGTATCTGATCAATCTCCCTGTCTTGTCTCCCGTCACGAACACCTCCAAAACCGTTCTGTTTTCACGTCACGTAAGATTTAATACACGTACATTATCTGGACATAGACTGCCAGTAAGATATATATGGTTTTAAAAGATGACCTGATTTGGTAGGTGTCGCTGCTGTCGGTGAAGTAGATAACGTCGTCGACTTCGTCAATGTCCATGTGGTTAGTGAAAGTGAATTTGCGGCCGTCGGCTTCGTCGACAACTTTCTGGGCGAGACCACCTTCTGGTCCGACCTTCATGATCCCAAAGTAGCAATCTGCGATGTAAAGATCGCCGGATTTCTTCTCGAAATGCACTCCCAACGGCCTCCCGCATATGTGTTCCCTCTCCGGTACATGTCCCGAGCAATTCTCCCTTCGGTTACAACGACACAAAAAAATGTTACAGATGATTTTGTCTGTATCCGATAGAAATTGAATAGATCTACCTACCTGATGTCAAGGGTAGAGTGGTCATTTCTGTTTGAATATATAACAAGATACTTTTATTTACATACCAGGCTTTTTGAAATTAATAGTTTTAGTTTAGTAATTGGGTAAATTAAAGGATGGCAAAATAATGGGCTTTTTTTTTGTTTGTTTTTGGAATAATATTGATACTCACCATGTGTATATATTATATTGTATGTATGATAATAAAAAATTGCCAATTGTAAGGAAAAATTTTAAAAAGCATGGACGGTCATCGACTCACCCGCTACCTTTATCTCTTTTATGTTTCCCACTAATCAGGAAACCCTAAATTACCAAAAAGGGCCAAGAAACCGTCGGACATGTTCACAGCCTGCCTTATCATCGATCTACCGATCAAAAGAAACCCTGGAAAGTAAACAACCGACGGTTCCGTACCTGTCGGGAGAGGTGAAGGCGAAGTCCGACCAACCGCGGCCATATCCGAGCCACTTGAGAACACGGCCGTCCGAGACGCCGACGTACGGGCCTTCCCCTTGCGGGTCCCAGTCCAGGCTCTCCGGCCCTTCTCCGGTGACCTCGATCGCCTTCGACGTGTGAAGCACCTTCGCCGAACCACTCAGCGTCGGCGGCCCTATCATGTACGGTACCAACACCAACACCACCGCTATCACCGCCACCGCCACCGCCACCATCTTCGACGTCGTCACCATGGCTTCTCTTCTTGCGTTTGGATGGAGCTGTGTAAGCCCAATTGAATGACGAGGCTTCTTTAATAACGAAAAGGTAGGGTGAACTGTACAAGCCTAATAATTTTCTTAATTTCTGAATTTTTTTATTCCTATAGACCCCGCGCGTGCAAGATGTAACAGCTACCAAATCGAATTTTGCTTGAAGTTATGAATAGTAGTACGTATCACTGTGGATTACATGATTGTTATTGCATAAATAATATAAGATAAGATAATCAGGAGGAATTCTAATTTGTATCCAAATCATATTTTAGAACCTTGTGTTATATGAAATGTATCTTTGTCACTGGTATCGGTGCTTCGAGAATAAGTGGCTTTATTAGATCTAATATAATACTAATTTAAACAAATCCATATAAGATCTTTGTTATATTCGTTTTGGTGGTCCATTCGGAAAATAAGCCACTCGTGATTCACGTGGCACATAAATAGTGTCTTGTAGATAATATCAGATATGTTACACTTTTTTTTTTTTAAAAAAAAAATGTCCGCTCCAAGGTAATATTGAGTTTGAATTAAATTTGTTAAAGATTTGAATATATATATATATATATTGTTTGGATTAGTAAGCAGCCGGAGTAGGCAAAGTCATGTTTTTGTTTCAAGAGAGTCTGTCTTCTATTGCAAAAGCAGATGCACTCTGAGAAACCCCTTCGTTTATTTATTTATTCGGTTGAAATTTCATAGTATTTCGCTCTCAAATTTAATAAACCAACGAATACTTCAAATAATACTTTATTCGTAACTATCATTACCATAAATATAGAGTAAGAAATTTGGCTTACAAAGCCTGCGTATATATTAGTTTGGCAATTGTGATTTTTTTTTAGTTTGGATTTTTTTAATCATCATTCAAAGTAAAATAAAGTAAAAAAGCGGTTTCAAAAAAACCTAAAGAATTAAGAAAAAAGGGACAGTTTTTTTACAGTCAAGCAAAAAGAAAGAAAAAATATCTAAATGCTAAGTGTTCAAAGGAAAAAGTGGAATTGAATTTTGAGAGCCAACATAAGAATGGAATTAGTGATAGAGAAATTACTTTTTTTTTTAATGAATTACACTCAAAGTTTTTAGAAACAATTGTTATAATAAATATTTTAAATTTACAAAATAAAAATAAAAATATGATTTTATCGTGTAATAAATTCCGCTAACCTTTTCTAAATTATCTTTTATTATTCTAAGGGGAGAACAATTATTTTCTACCTTTGAATAAATATTTCTACGTAACATCCTTAACATTGTAGGTTAATTTCGGAAATGACCCCACTATTTGTTATACGCTCAATTATAAACTCGAGAAAAAAAAAAAAAAAAAAAAAAC